AATACTGAATGCAGACGTTATGTCATGTCAGCGATCCGTGCAGGTTTGTAAACAAATCAAAGTTTATGGATATTCAAGACTGAAAAGTATTAAAATCACCAACTATTCCATTTACAACCAATAACCTTAAACTATGTAATCCTAATCTTACGATTAATAAAACCGAATTTTTGTTTTGTTCTTTTATATTATTTCTGTGTATCGGTGCTTTTAATCTGCTACCGTCGCCTTCGATACATATCTTCATCTCTTCCACAGGAGTTGAAGCTTAAATATTACAGTGAAATATACAAGTCTCAATCAGATACCTGAAAAATGAAAAACCCTTATCAAACAGTGTCCATTCCCGTTTACAAGCAAGAGAAATAATCGTAATAGCAAGAAATACACTTACATACTTTGTTGTGTTTCTTACTGTAAAGATTTACTAGTATTATACTTGACTATAGTTGAAAGGATAAATGTTGATAATACTGGAGTATAGTTCAGTGAAGCAGTATTACCTTTTTCATTTTAAATTGAAACAGGTCAATACTGATTATTCTTTTCATTTTCTGTACTGGTCGTCAGCGGGATTCATCTTTTTTGCGGTGACATAACAATGTCATGATTTATACAACTTTTTCAATTGATTTTAAATCCTATTTGACGTTTGAAATTTTAGCTATCAATGCGTCGGATCCTTATTCAACTATCTACGTAGCCACTGACGGAGAGGCAAAAGATGAAAGTATGCTTAGCACTGTAATACAAGAAGCGAACGCAAAGCATATCCATTTGCAGTTCCTAATGACAGGAAGTTGTCCTGATTCGGGTCGACACCAGAGGGGTAAGGAGACATAACTCTAAACATGCAACATTCTAGTGAAACCATTTGCTGCATTTTGTAAATCCAGCCTCTGAATAAACATTTTCAAATAATATTCTTAATATTTTCGTGAATGAGTGATATTCTGTGTTATTACCGATATTAACTTTTCCTGTTACCTTCACTTTTCATTGTAATGGTATCGGATAACACTTTGATAAGAAAGACAGATTGAGAATTTCTAAATTTCATAAAAGTGTAATTCTACAATCTCATAGTTTTATGCAACAAAAATGACGAAAAGGTTTGAAAAGTCAATAATTCGCATATTGGACATTATTTTAATTCACTTTCTTTCAAACTTATATGCTTTGATAGATAAATATTATCCGATATATTTTATGATAAATAGACTGGGTTAGGGTGTTTTTTTTATTTTTGCGATTATGATTCGAAAACCTGTCTTTCCATGACAACCAAACGGCAGTATTTGTTATGAGACCTTTGGCACTAAAGGAAGTACCCCGTTGTTTTCAGACATGGTAGAAAGACAAAAGATCAGTCATTCGGCCTTCGACGACCTTGTAGCCAGTACGAGAGGAAACCTTCAACCGAACACGCCGTAGTGATGGCAAATTTGTTCATGTTTTCTTTTTCGTTAAAGTTATAATTTGTTCACAATGTATATGGTAAATTTTGACAGTGTTGATAATTAAATAAAATTAACGCTTTTGAAAATGGAAAATTGATAAGAGAAAGAAAAATAGAGTACGATCATTGACTATAACAACATACTATGTCAGCATTTAATGTATGTTTATTTGCTTCGAGTTTTACAATCCAACAACAGCAAGTGCTTATATCAATTGTTAATTGTGTAGAATAGGCATTGATAGCGTTGTATTCATCAAAATGTTAAGGAGCTGTCTTTGTATGCTTTAACTAAAAAATCTGAATCTGAAGCGTGTTAAGATGATTTTGATTTCAATACAATAAGTATAGCACATTGCCATGGACCTAATATCTGTAAATGTAGACGCTGTCATTGCAAGAAGCAGGAACATAACAACAACTGATTCAATGGAGAAATTATCCAAGTCTAAACTTGATAGCTTCTTCAACATAATTTTTAATTAGGTTTATTTTCTTTTATTATTTAAAATTACCATGGACGAAATATTATACGTCCCTGGGAAAAATATATATCAACTTCAAAAATTGAAAGCATATAATGCATACTTGAATAGTTTGAATTTGTCGATAAATATTTGATAAATGATAATGGCAAGGATTTGTTATCAGACAGCATCATCATATAAGGGAATATGCACATTTTGATGTTTAGTATTGTTATATCCATACAATGTTATTTAAATTGTGATTATCAAAACGATGTTACTTACACCAACATAACGATAAAAAATAGGTATAACGTAATATAACAAGAAACCAAGCTTGACATGATTTATTTAGCGATTAATTGAAGACACTACCTGTCAATAAGCTTAAGTTACACTTAAACATGATAACATTAACTATGTTGATTTTTCGAAACGTTTACGTCATAATAATCAAGATAATGATTGGAAAAGTGATATAACATCAAATCGACAACCTTAGACATTTTGTTGAACGGAAGATGACGATCAAGTCATGGATATTGTAAAAACCAAGAAAACGTTACACAGATACTCCTGAAAAAGTAGAAGGAGAATAAGACCAGATGTTCCGGAACAGTAAGTGTATGTGTTTTCATTGATGACACCCGATATATAAACCTTAGTAAATTTTTATAAGTATTGTGAAAATGAAAAAAAGTAAAAATCGAAATTGTCAACAACCCGAGAAACAGGTCACATATTCCTGATTCACAGGATGAAGAGTATGTCGGGAGAGTCGCCGGGGTATGAGGAGAATAATCACGTGTTTTACAAAAAATAACCCAAACAAGATCCAGATATATTTCATAAAAGGCTCTTTTCCAAAGGAACAAATAAGATACATTCTACCATGAATTTGTGACGATGACGTCTCTGACAGAACGTTCTGTCTTTTATAACCTCCACTCTTGTTTGCTTGTATAAGTATTTTAGCATCATTTACAAATTATCAATTATTAATTACTGACTTAAAAGCAAGAACAATGCATTTTATGACGTATGTTTCAGGATCTATATTATATGTAAGGCTCTGCTTCCCAAAACACAAGGAAGGGAAGTGTACTCACGACACAAGGGTGAATAGCATATTTTAATTAAAGAAAGCAGAGTTTAATGTAGTAGAGCAAAACAATGAATTAAACTTCAACTTACAGCTATGTCGTCCTAAACTTTGAAGCCTAGGGCGATTGCGGAAAATCCATTGTGATCGAAAGAAAATTCAATTTCTAGAAGGGGAGGTTCAATAGCCCAATAATTTCGCCTTTTTTCATATTTCATGTAATTTTAGCACAATGTCAATTGCATTTGTATGTTCAAAACATTTTTTAACGTAAAAATACTTTTTGTTGTTTAAAGCCTCAATAAAAGTGGGTCTCACTAAAAATACAAACCGACGGTCAGCGAAGTTCAGAAGGTCATCACGAAAACACGCATCGTGACCAACCTGCATACTAGATATACAGGTAATGTTTGATGTTGAACGTGTGTAAAATACAGGTGTTCAGTCATTCGTGGGCTCCCTGTGCTGTTGAATAGGGCGTATACATGGTTTAATTAAATAGTGACCTCTCGGGGAAATGACTAAATGATTTTTCAACTTCGGTTCTGCAAAGATCCTTAATGAAGGCATGCTTACGACTACGCTATATATGTACAGAAATAGTCTTCAATTAACATCACACAATTATCTTGTGTATTACAAAAATGTACGAATATTTCCATAATTATCAAAATTGATAGAGAAAATAGTCCTCAAAAAGTTTAAAAAGTCACTATACTCTATTTATGAAAGTTACTTCGAGCTATCTATCTTCTTCATGCCCAAGTAATATTTTGTGTATATCTCACTAGTAATATACCCTGGAGCTCTCTTCTTTGGCGGTCAGATATTAATTGTGACATCATAATATGGACAATAATTTTACGTCATGAATTTAAACTGACACTACAAAATGACTGTTTCTTGTTAATTTTGTAGTGTACATTTTGACTATAAAACCTATGAAAATATAACTTTTTCTGAGTAAGTGACAAAAGCGTCTTAAGTCTGTATGACCTCCATTAGAGTTGTTATAGAACTTAGCAAGGCTCGTAAAAAGGAAAAAGACTCAGTTTCACAAGTAGATAAATTTCTTAATATTACTGTTCATAATAGGGCTAATTTACGAGCGTTTTAGTTCAGATGAATTTTTCCTGGTCATATGAATAAAATATTGACTGTTGATAATTAGCAAGTGTGTTACAGGATGACAGTATTTATTTGTAATGAAGTTATCGCTGAAATATTCAAACTTTCATTATGACATAGATTTAATGAAAAGCCTTTCATATTTCTAGCCGCATTCTCTATTTTTTCTCTACTTTTCGGACAAAGGGATGTTGGATACAAAACACAAAGTTCAATGTACAATACATTCGTTTATTTTAGGGAATTCCTCATATCAAGCCACATTATTGTATTTGTTGAGAAATGTGACATCGATGATAGACAAAATCATACAAGAATTATATAAAGAACTAAGCTTCATATCACTTATTATATACAGAAATGAAAATTCCGTATAATGTACACTTATCTATTCCAGTTACTTCAGATCAATGTCTCATTTTCAGGTACCGTAATTAACATATCGATTTTATAGAGGCATGTAATAATGCTCGCGTAGACTTAATGAAATTAATCGTCGCCTATGAATTGTGTATGTCATGAATGTTATGATTTGTAAGCCCTGCTTCAGGCCCGGGAACAGAGTTGCTTTAAACACAACAAAAAATCCTGTCCAAGCTGACGAATGTACAACAAACATATCGATCTAAACAAAATGATTGTAAATGTTATGAATTTCGATCGGTTAAAACAATCTGATTGTACAGATTTAGAGCCGAGATATATCGATGAAATAAACTAACTGTCCTCGGTTGATGCTTTAATATTACTCCCGTCTAGGTAAGATCTGCATATAACATAGAGCTGATGATTGGTTAAGTGTTTGTGTACACATGCATTATGCCTATTTAGGAGTCTCGGGTAATTACCAACCTGCGAGATTAAGTCTTTTCATGGCTTGCTTTCGGAGAAGAACTTTGTCGGTCTTTCCATTACTAAGGCTAGGGAACGAATCAAACCTAAGAAAGTAGGAAGGTGTGTTACCTAACACGTTGTCACCAAGAATCACTCGACATTTCTTGTCCAGGTCAACTTCTGTTGTATTCAAATAATCCTTCAGTACGTAACAGGCGCATACTTCCTCAAAGAGTCTTGCATCCGGTACCGGAATCACCACAACCTCTCGTATTTCCGGAAATGTCGACATCGCTGCTTCTACAATGCTAGCTAAAACCTTCAAACCACCACGCTTTATGACGTCATTGGATTTACCTTTCAAAAACAACTTGCCTTCCGTTGTGATAATTCCGATATCGCCACTTCGAAACCAGTCGTGGTCAGTAAAAGACGCTATGTTCAGGTCTCGGGCATTGCGGTAGGACTTCAACGTAAATGCAGATCTTACAAGGATTTCACCCAAAAGTCCTCTATTGAGGATTTGTTTTTTGTCACCGATGACCTTGACCTCGTAGCCCGGTAAAAGCGATCCGACATGCCCTTCTTCTATTTCCGGTGCCATCTCGATATAAGATACAACGGCGGTCTCAGTTGTACCGTAGCCCATAATCAACTTCTCTGTACATTTACCACAGACTTCAGTGACATGACTGCCAATACGTTGTCCACCGGTAGCGATGGTGTACAGCTTGTAGCCTGTTTTGGTGATAGTGTCGAGATTTGCAAGGATATCGAATATTGCGTAAGGAAGTAGCATAGCACTCGTACACTGTTCGGCCATGATGATATCCCAAATCTTCAAAATGTTTCCTGTCTTCATACCTATTGCAGTGTTCATAAACACTCGTGTGTTGCCATTAAGGATACTGAACAGAGGCGAACCTGCAAACCAAGAAAATGGTCGATCATTGTAGCATTTCCCATATGGTGGGTTTCCCGCTGTTGCAAAAAAAGATAAGTAGGAAGCGTTGGTGATTGCGAAATGTGTGTACTCGACCATTTTAGGAAAGCCGGTGGAGCCAGAGGTGGTAAATATCAAAGCGATACTCTCTGGTTGTATCCTTGGAAGGTAAACCTCTTTTTCGGCATCATTCAGAACAATATCATCCAATGAAAGCAGAGATGACGGTAACGATTTCCTCAGTAGCAAAGCTACCATTATATCCTTTATGGATCCCTCGGTACCAAAGTGGGCTTCCATATCAGATACATAGTCTTCGTCCGACTCAGGGTCAATCAAAACAGCGTTACATTTGGTAGATTTTAGAAGTTTTAACGTCTCAGAGAACAACTCCGATGTTTTGTGAATCTGAACAGAGACAGCCCCTGCCATGAGGATTGCAAACTCGCCAATAATCCACTCTATCGAGTTTGGCCCAGTGATGGCTACGCTATCTCCTGGTCTGATCCCTTTAGCTATAAGGTATTTGGCTATGTCTGTGGACCTGTTAAGCAGGTCAGCATTAGTTAGCGACCTTCTTCCGCCACCCACAGATCGTTCGACACATATTTCGTTTTCAGGAGCCTCATTTGTCTTATCTTTAAACACGTCAATGATAGAAAGGTATCGAAATTGGTCAGGATTCGGAAAGGACAAGTAGCTCAGGTCTGCCATCGTTATCACGCAAGCTGTTCTTGTCACTGTGATATAATAAGATAATAATGTATAACAAAAATTGGACAAAAGAATCACGACTGAACAACAATTTCCGAAAACAAAAAATCAGGTACGGTGTTGGCAGATAGTGAGTTAATTTTAGTATATGTCGTTTCCTCCTCCTATCTTATTAGTGAAGCATATGGCTTAAGCGACAAAGGAAGAAAATCATATCTAGTGATATGTTTTTTGATTCTATATATATTATATATAACAACCGTGTATTAAAAAAATTCATATACGAAAGTGCACCATACCTAGAGTTTACAAACAACGCACGTGTGACTAGGCTTGGTACAGTTCAATATAAATTTGATCAGATACGGCAGAACTTAACAAGGAGTCAAACTGCATCACACAGCTGTTGTGACCTTCTAGACTCGTCAGTGATGCCAAGGTCCTAAATTTTGAAACCTATGAGTCGACAGAGAAAATACAAAGTGATCTAAGAAAAGTTAAAATAAAAAGACTAAATGAAGATTCATATTGACATGATAAAAAATAGATATACTAAAAGCGATAACAGTTGACAGTTGTGGTTTTCCTAATTAAACACTAGAGATAGGGAGAGTATTGAACGTGAAGCAATATTTAGAAAAGGGAAAACAATCATGGGGCAGATGATTCTGTAAGAAGAAATTCAGAAGTACCACCTTTCAAAAGTATATTAGTAAACGTTCATGTCTTCAAAGACAACTTTAATTTTCTTAATGTATAGGAATGAATATTAATAAAAAAAGAAGCCGAAGTCTTCTTTGATGATGTTATGTGGCATAACGACAAAATTATTTTAATTTAAAACAAAAAAATGCGACTTATTAAGTCATAATTGGACATTGTATTCATAAAAATGAAATGGAAATGTTTTAATATAGAGTTCTTTGAATGTGAATATAGCTGCGGTCAATTTGATTTTCATGCAATTCAATAATTATGTTTTGAAGATGTATTTACGTAAGAAATAAGCTATCTTTTCAAATATAAAATTCACATCATTTCGTGTATAATTTATCGCTGTTGCTGTTTAGTCTTGGTTTGAATACTTTTAAATGTGAATAAAAGTTTGTCAAGGGAAGAGATCATCACTTTAAGCTGATTTTACTTAATGCGTTCCGTATATTGTTCAAATAGGAATATTAATCAATCGATTATTTAAATTTATCACGGATGTAGTCACACATTGCACATTTTGTGTGATGCAATCGCACATTGCCGCTTTGTATCCCACATTTCGGTCGATGAACGGACGCAGTCTCGCGATAAGCGATGTTTTGTCAACAACTAAATCTTGTACTCTTCTTGTGCACGATCTATTAATATGAAAAGTAATGGGGGTGTGGGGGGTTGGGGGGGGGGGTTGTGTGACGACATTTATTAATCATCTTTCGCCAATGGGCAATGGTCGGTAAAATTTAATTAGGGGGGTGGGGGAGATGTAGACTTGAATATTGAATAAAATTTATTGAGAGATTCATGGTGTATCTTGTTTACAAGCCCTGTATTGCAAAATTCGTCAAAGGGGACCTTCACACTTTTGATGTGACCGATAAACTTAAACATCATATCGAGTGTAGAAGGTGATGGTATGTTGGTATATAAATACTTTATATAATTAGGGATTTATGAGACACTAAATCTGTTTCGAAGGTTTTCAGGTATTAACATCGACCTTTAACCTTGATTGATAATTAATGAACTCTGATGTTGAACACTATGATATATGAATATAATTAAAATCTGTTCAGAGGTCCTTAACTTGTAAACAAAGTTAGCATACACTGATACACAGACAAGTAGAACACTCTATGCAATCCCCTTAACCAAAAGCGTGGAATGATAGTATAAATTTCTTTGTAATGAAGATAACACATCAAAAGTAAAGAACATGAGAATGGAATGGAACAGTTTCAGGAAAAATAACGTGCATGTTAAATATATATATGTTTTCGAAATAGAAGCGTAGTCAGTGTCATTAAATCCAAGATTTCAGCATTAATTTACATAAAATACATACATGTTTGGAAAATATGCAGAGTGTCGATATTCATTTTCCAAAAATAAGTACAAGCAATTAAACGAATTTCTCAAACACAACGCAGTAAGAATAAATTTGACAAAGGATAGATTTAGTTAAATTTGGTTAATATTTTACTTACCTGGTTAGTAACCTTACTAAGCCAGACATCAATATACATTCTGTGGTGCGTTAAATTCTATTACTTTGGATATTGCAATAAACCTGACTACGCATACAACTAACGTGTAGTATCATTTATCAGTTTTATTTAGAAACGAACAATATTCAATGGACATCATGTACGGAAGAAAATTTTAATGTGGAGGCACGTGTTAGTCAATGGCGTAATTCAGTTAGAGGTTAAAGTGTTTCTGTTGTCAGTCTATTTTATTTTTTTTAAATTTCTGATTACCGAGTGACGATAAAATGACACCATAATCTAAATGTAAGAGGGTTCAGAGGGAATGGGATCAGAGGGAATGTGATCAGTGGGGAGGGGGTCAGAGGGGAAGGGATCAGAGGGAATGGGGTTCAGAGGGGAGGGGATCAGAGGGGGGATAAGAGGGAAGGGGATCAGAGGGAATGGGATCAGAGGGGAGGGGATCAGAGGGAATGTGATCAGCGGGGAGGGGGTTCAGAGAGAATGGGATCAGAGGGAATGTGAACTATTGATGTGTTCCTAAGGTGAAAATACTTACCTCTTCTGATGTGGTGGTGATGAAGGCATGACAGAACTGGATATTGATGTGTCCCTTCGGTTCTCTAGCCAGGAAGGAAAACTGACAGTGGCCTGGGTCACATGTTGCATAGGAAATTCGCTTCAGGGCATGGGCCATGTACACACTCTGGAAAGGGAAAGGAAAAGGTAAATGATTGTTTACATTTTGGAAAGGTCAAGGTCACATGTGATGTCTACAAATCATATCAAGGTCACACATATTTACTCTAAAATATCAGATATACTTAAATCACATTATATGAGTACTCTAAAGAGATCAAGGTCTCACAATGATATGATACAATCTGACCACACTGTGTTCGAAAAGTTAGCAAATGACCCATTTTTAATGCAAACATCGTGACATTTTATTCTGTGACGAAATTGAAAAATAGAAGAAAAATGCTCTTCACAAACCAGGTTACTGTGTAGAACAAGGATCAGCTTGGCACAAACCTGTTTTATAAACGAAAGAGAGTTCATTGATGGTGTTACTTTTTCTTATTGATGACAACTGCGGGAGTAGAAGTCAAAATAATTAAACTTTGCGAACCTTAAAAGTATTCATAAAACCTAATTTTCATGTCATTGTTTTTTGTCAGCTGATGTCGTATCAGTTGTGAAAATATAGATGGATATCGTTTAATCTCATTAGTCTGACCGCCTTATATGTGTTGGTAAATGTATTCACGTAGAGAAATTTCTCCTTCAAATTTGAACAAAAAACTTTTTGAAAGTTTAAGAGCGATACACATTGTATTGCAAACAAGGAAAGACCACGAAACTAGATCATTGTGACGTCAGTGTCATGCGACTTGCAGATAATCAATTCATTTACCTGGTGGTAACGGCCACTTTGAAAGTCTGAGAATAGGTAGCGGGGTAATCTAGAACATTCGATTAACTTTTTATACATATGTCCAACTCAATAAAACATCTGGTTTTGTCTAAACCAAAAATAACACTATGATAAAAAAGATAAATAGTGTTTTGAAAACAAAATAAATTACAGATAAACAACCTATAAAATAAATCGTTTTGTGTCCTTCTACAATATCTATCAAAAAGGTGATCAGCGAATTAAGAATGTTAATATACATGTTTTTAAATGTGGTAGTTTAGTGAGAAACCCAGGATGTTGTTGATAATCAATATGTCGTTATTGATCGATAAATTAAATACCACCTGCAGTAAATTTTATTACTCATGTAAAATTTACAAGTCATTTATTTCACAGGTGATGTAATGACTGCCTACGTGAAACTGGTAAGGTCTGGTAGACCTTAATCAGTGTATACGTTCTTAGTGATGTGGTTATGTAGGATATTTCGTTATGGCTATCAGGTAATGAGAGTTCAGAATTGTTGTCCATATTTGACCTCGTCATTCTTATACACATTCTTTATACAAACTTTCCTCTTGAGCAGACATAAAGCCTCAAGCACGAACTTAAACGATCCTGTGCTATGTCGTTGTGCTGAAATGTTTACTTTGATATGTCAATATCATTTCTCACCCACGAGAGATAACTAAATCAAGGAGCTACCGGAACAGTCGTCGCTGTACGACAGCAATTGTTAGAAACACTTCCATCTATTCGGTAATTAATTCACATCATTCGTGTTCAATTCAGGGGGTTGTTAATTATTATCGGTAAAAATGTGAATATCAGAAAACCAACTTAATTGTTTGCTCAATTGCTATCATATACATAATGTTTTGGTTTTTACCACAAACTGTGGTGTTCCTTGCCATTGTAAACCCTTTTGTTTCGGATCCGGTAAAGATCTTAACCAGGAAAATTAAATGTTATCCACCGACAGCGATAGTGACTTGCAACAGTAAAAGCCTTTGCTATGCTTTTTGCAATCAGTTTAGTTTGGTTTATGATCTTTAACTTCGTATCAACAGCAATTGTCATTTAAGGGCAGTGTATCTTGTGTGGGATTTGCATGCGTTTGGTGTGTGTAAGGGGATGTGTATGTGTTATGGGAGACTGTGATATGGTTACCTTTGCTTTTGCTTCCTGTAGAAGACAACACGCATAAGGCCCACTCAGTCAAATCGTACTGACAACTCTCCACTCCTAAAATGGTAAGCGTTAAGTAGATGTAACTTGTAACGGACGGAGGATATAATTCAAAGTCATCTACAGATGGGCAAACGCTCAACTATTCGCAACAAAATGTAGGCATTACCCAGGGAGACTTTAGGGAGGAGAAAGTTGTTCAAAAAGAGAAAACTTTAAATCCAAAATTAAATACGAATCATGCAAGTGAGACTATAGGCAAAATTCTCGTAACACAAAATATGTAATATTCAACTCTGAAACAATGTCCGTGTTCAATAATATATTATTGAATTTATTTAGTCAGAAATCTATACTTTATGTTATTTACCATCGCATTTGCAGAGTTGCTATATTCAATAATACAAGTAAGTACGTTTTAAAGACATTCTAGGTGTATCATCTCTACACATTTACAGATATTCTGGCCATGCTGCTGAAGCGTCTGGGTGAGGGAGCGTTAATAAATTGCACAAAAAAATCATTCAATCATATCCATTCGGATTGTACATTAAAATGTATATACAACACTCTTGTTTGTCCTCTACGTTCCTTGATATCGTCTCCTTGACACCTTTTTCTGTCACATGGACCTTAATCACCAAACAAATGAATCATTGAATGGTAGCTTAAGGTATCATATTAACTCAACTTTGAAAGGGTGTGAACTGATATTTGTCTGATGATATAAAAGCTTTTGTTGTAGTATTTGATAAAGATTAAGTTGAAATGTTTCAGATAAGAACATCACTTGTTTCTATTACTAACAAAATCACATTTTTGTTACTTCTAGGGGATAAATATATATAGTGATTTCACTTTCCTTTGATAACAAACATCCTACCACATGTCACAGATCACGGGTCCTACCAAATAATCGATCGATAAATCTTGTAACTAGAATCGATTCTTGCTCAAATGGTCAGATTTTGAATGTTACTGACCGAATTCGTGTTAAAAGAAATCTTTAATTAAGAATACATACATTGATGCAAGAGATATGGGGCAAAACATTGGTTGAGATCTCATTATTAAATCCTGAGGAATTAAATTTCTATATAAATCGTCCCTAATTGAAACTAATTGAATTTTCAGCGTAACGATTTGGTTGTCCTTCCTATTCTAAAAGGACATTTTTTAGGATCGCATGGAATCTTTATTTATTAGCAAATATGCATTAAATAGCACTACATCAAACTTAAGACGGATCTGTTCCTCTTTGCATAAGATGAGTCAGGAAATAATATTTAGAAATACTGATAATTTTTGTCAATCAGAAATAACGTTGTGTATTGGTTTGAAAAACAAACAAAATTAAAAATATAATACATGGTGATAATAAAAAGAGGAAATAAACAAAAAAATCGATACAAATTTAAACCTCGCACTAATCCCATTCCGGACAGGAGCCACAAAGAAATTCTTGTGCTGTAAGGTTGCAGCTCGTTTGTCAAACAACGAATCTAAAGTCAATAAGGGTGTTAACCATTAGATGTAAGAAGGAAGTTCATGCATGTACTTCTTGGAAGGCTATCTCTTTCGGTATTTATATAACGTCACCTGTCAACCATAACAAATCAGATAAAGGACCTACCAATGGGTCACCTCGATACATATATATAAGTTCACTTTAGGTTGCGTGTACACATTGTTGTTGTATTCAGTTGACAATGCATCGATTCACTTCCGGAAAAGTGATGTAAACTGGAAATGTGTATTGTTTATGTAACAAGTACGGTACGACATTAAATCAGAATAGATAGCGGAAGTTGAAACAATGGAGATGATTTTGTTATGGTCAATTTTTGCGGTAGGAACGGAAGCTTTTAAACCAACCATTGGTCAAGGAGACGACCCATCTATGTATACTCATGAGAGTATCACACTTGAGGGTATGGACAAGGCCGCTGCAGATTTCCTGTCTAGTGGCTTAGTGGACACTACGAAAACGAATCATTATGAAATTATCAAGAAATATTTCGGATCGGGTAAGTCATTCTTTCATGGTAAATATTGGTTATTTATTTGAAAGATGTGCAAGTACGTTAATTTCCCTAATTACCTTTCCAGTATATTTGTAGTAACACTAACTTGGTTCATGTGGCGTGGTAGTGTCTGTACATCTGTAAGTAAATTTCGCAGTATGTTCCTTTTCTATGGACGACGTTTTCATTGACCGGGGACCAAACATCAATCCCCACGTCATCTTTGATTAAATTTATGGATAAGTAATCAAGAACTTCAGGATGCAAGTTTTTATTTAACTAGTTGAATCAATTTTGTATAAGATTGTGAGACTTTGTTGTTATAAAAGTCTTCACATTTTTTTTTGTTCATTTCTAATCTGTTAAAATTGTACTGAAAATGGGTATTGTACAACTATTTCGAACCAAGATGGTTCTACTTAAAGTAACCATCTTTGTTGCGCCAGATATAAGCGCACGGTTGTTCTTGCTGTGGATGGAAACAAATGAAATTATCAGGCCTTTGATCCCCTATCTCAACGTGATATTTCGGGGAAACTACGGATTTCGACAGGTATATAATACAGTCCTGAACATTTTATGAAAAAACGATACATGTTTATTTAACAAAGACTTTGACTTAAAGGTTGTATTTAAAGCATATGAAATGTAAGATACAAGTGAATAACACATTTTAGATTAAGAATTCGATACAATAGAGCCAAATAATTGATAAACATGTTTGGTCCTTCTAGAACACTTCAGTTATACTAAGGCCCGAAGGTGGCGAAGTAAGGAAAATACAAATGTATCGCAAGAAATGTTGAAATCTAGATGCGGAGTTGTACAAAGTAAGATTACAAATATATAATCTTTGAAAATACTTTAAAGAAATAACTGGGATTGCACTTTTCTATTTTCGATGGCTATATCATACCTTTCGCCTATTGTTCAATTTTTACTTAAGTCAGTATTTGCCAATTGAATATTGAAATAATATGTGATATTACAACTTAACATATCTACATAATAGTATGTGACGTGACCGGATTTTCAACAGTCTGAGCATGCTATCAGATAGTCCTTTATCAGTAACGTTATCAGTTCTTCGAGTGTTTTGCTACCGTGGGATTAGTGTGTTTTGCTACCGTGGGATTAGCGACGCTTCTTAAACAAATGTTGGCATATCTTCTTTGAACCAACGGTGTCGTGGCCAACAGGTGGACGAGATTAATAAAATTTGTAACTGAGCGAGATCGAGGTTTCTCATTTGAGGGCTAAGATCCCGTAACAACCTAACCCAACCGAGGCGTTAGCCCGCGACTGAGATATACTCCGATCTCGCTCAGTCATAGGTAATATATTTTTCTCGCACCTACTACTTTGAAAACTATTCAATAATTCATTGGCGTATCCCGTGGGAGCCTCAATCTACCAACACAGACTCTTCACTTTTAAACAACTTTTAGACAGTGCTGCGTAAACAATGTGGGCCGCACTACTAAAATAAAACACATTTTAAATTGAATATGTTATTTTATCTACAACATCAGGAATATTACCAACATTGAAAAATACTCAAAACAGAAGATATAAAGCAATGTAGACACGGAAGCATAGAAAATTCCGCGAAAACGCACGTAAGGGTACTAGACAGATCGGGCGGGATAGAAAGACTAGAACGGGGTATTACGTGAAGTGTCTTTGTCTGAGGTGCGATAAATACTTAGACTACTCATTCAACAAGATTAAACGCTTTTCTGTATATAGGAGGGTTGGTGTGTTGACAGGACTATAGTTGCAAGCTATAACAGGATTTACTGTCACCTTGGTAGTCACGTTAATGACTTTCCTGAATGGCTGTGTATCATTAGCCCTGCATATCGTCATGTCTTCATTCTTATTAGAAGTTACACTGAACAGAATATACACAAGCTATTGAATTATAGATGGATTGATTCTTATTATAATTTCTTATCTTCTATATATCCATGTTAAGGCTCTAATTAACTGCAGCCTGCATGTCTCTTTAAATTCATTCAATAGTGGTACGGTGCAGAATACACACATGTGCTGAGCATCGTTCTAAAAGAATCTGATATATAGAACTATGAATTTTATTGAGTCATTGGGCTTGTGTTATTCTCCATCAAGATTTTAATTTTTCTTTAAATCATTGGATTTTCCCAGTCCTACTAGGCTTCAAACTTTAAGCCCTTAGCATCACTGACGAGTCTGCTGCATGATACAGTTTAATACCTTGCCTGGATCTACGGTATCTAACTAGATATATATTTTAAGATGATATTCACTTGTGTGACTTTTTTGCTATCTTTGTAGCTCGGAGTATGTGTGTATGTGTGTGTGTGTGTGTGTGTGTGTGTGCGTGTGTCTGTGTGTGTGAGAGAGAGTTTGTGTATGTGTGTGTGGGCGTGTGTCTATGTGTGTGGGTATGTGTGTCTGTCTGTGTGTGGGTGTGTCTGTCTGTCTGTGTGTGGGTATGTCTGTGTGTGTTTGTGTATGTCTGTGTTTGTGTGTGGGGTTGGTGGGTGTATGTGTGTGTGAGGGTGTGTGTGTAATGTGTATGTGTTTGGGAGGTTGGTGTATGTGTGTGGGGGGATTGGTGGGTGTGTGTGTGTGTCACCAATAACGTACATGTAATTGAATTGGTTCCTGAATAATCTATTTCAAAATCGATTGAAGTGTGTTTTAAGTATGGAGCAGGAGGATGGCGCAGTGGTAATGGAAACGTTATCGCTACTACTTTAAACTTTATTTTACCGATTTTAAACTATCTATTAATAAACACATCAGTAAAAACCCTTATGCGCTTCCATCTGTGCCAACGAGAGTTAATTTCTTTAATTTGATTTCTTAATTGCTTCATACAATATGTATCTGAAGTATATGTACCCATATTCTAGATACAAAGAGTTACCAGGACTACCAACAAAGAGGTCAAGAGTTTGCTTTAGCTGTAATGAATGTTTACAAAAGTTACCATTGGAACCCGGATTACACAGTCAATTCTGAACGGATAATTGAAGGTTTGTGAAACGTGTGAAATATATAGATGATAATGCAAATTAGTTTCTGTTTACTGTTCATATAGTAATAATTTTACATAGTGGACTGGTTACATGGTTATGTCTTTAAAATAAACCCTTATGCTTAAGTTAAAGTAAAAATATATCTTCTTTTATCTTACTCTTTTCTTTGTTTTGTCTTACTGAAAATAATATTTTTATATAAATTCTTGTTGCAGTTTCGATATTACAATATAAAATCATTCTGATGTAAATCTGTCATTGTGTTGCTGTGGGACTGACTATTTTGTACTTGGTCATGAATGTTCAGTTTTGATTAGAATTGTATTGACATTCGGGTTATTTCTGGTTTTTAATGATGTTTCTGACTTTCTAACTTTGCCACAGCCGACAGTCTTGTCCAGTCCACACGGTTAGAGATAGCTTCCATCTTATCAAAGGGAACATTAGACGAGACATCGACGAAACTTCTAATAAATAAAGTAGGGAAGTGTTTGATGATCATCCAGTCTTTCTACAGCAACACAAATTGGATAGAGATGATGGTAAATGGTGGAGAGTCCTTTCTGACATTTGGTGAGTTTGTAGGTATAGCTTCCTACACGCCAGACATGACACTAATCGAAGTGTAAACAAAGGTTTTGTTGACCAAATAGAGAATAAACATCGGAAATATATTTATAAAATATTCACATATAAATGATAGATAAACACAGTATTTTTGTTTTTATATGTAGAGATACATTGTTTACTAGATGTATTGTGTCCGTTTCCCATGACATCAGCCACATACCGCCTTTTTGGAAAATTCTAGCTGTTCCGTCAATTATCCATTTTTTTCAACATGAGCCTATAAGTATCAATTAGAATTGTTTTAAAGGATAGATGATCTGAATATCAAACGTAATATAAAAAATGGTGTCAGATTAACTATATTCAGTGATGTGCAACATAAGCTTACTTCAATTCAAATTCAATATTGCTCTAAACATGCTCAGCGCGGTAATTACTATGTAGGTATGGTATTATCTGTTAAATAAAAATGAATATGACAAAGATTATAATGCTAAAATAACTATATTATATATATATATATGATTTTCCCTTATCTTCTGAGCTGTTAGGGACCCTAGCATCCATTCATCAGAACGTGGCCACGACAGGAACTGCAACTTGCCGAAACTGCGACGATAGCATCCCAAAGTAAGATGTTTGGTTGAGTCTTCATGTCAAGCAACAGCATAACGCTGTTTGAAAATCGTTATAGATTGATATCTGTGGAAAAGATTAAGAGTGTCATTTTCTTCAATTTCGTTTGGTCAACAACATCTCATTTTAACTTTACAAAACTCGGTTGTAGTAAAAAGCCAATATACATATCATGTGATATTACTATTTTCTCACGTTCTGGGTCCTTAGCATCACTGACATGTCTTAGAAGGACGAAGTAGCGGTATGATGATGTTTAATAATACATTACACTCAACACATTATTCATCTTTTAAAAAAAATATATGTAATATAAATAACAAATAACAGTAAGTTTGTATATGTGTGATAGAAGGTGCGGTAGATTGTTTCTTGTTTATTATACAAATTCTAAAACACGATTAAAAAACGGTACATTTTACTATCAAATTTCATGTTATTTTATTTTACTTTTAGTCGGTGTTTTTGCAATTTCGTAAAAAATAAATACTCCGAATTATTGGTAAAATTAAAACAGTGCGTTTTGTACTTGAATAATAACCGAGCATACATACCACATTAGAAATCCAATTGTCCCTGTATTGCACACAGCCGGTTGTAAATGTTGTAATATTTTGGATCTGAATATAAACTTGAATGATTTCTACATTTCTTATTGTATTCATTACTATACAAGTGATTAATTGCGCATGTGAAAAGTGTTCAGTAAACGTCATTTAATACAGCGGCATAAAAAACGTCGTTGTTTAACGTCGTATACGATGACTTGTTTTAAACTATGTGGCTTTAATGAAACCTTTCACTATTCTAAATATAAATCCAATTCATCAAATATCACTTTTTGCTGTATTTTACCATTTAAGCTCATGTAACAACAATCTGCTGGTTAAGAATCGTCTGACAAGTGGATATCTGTATAGCCAGTCTTCCTTCCCAAAACCATTAGGTGAGTCTAATCAAAGTCACTACTGATATTGTTATGGTGGTAAAGCACGCTTATCAATATATCTAACCGTCATGAACTGTATCTGTTGGGGATGATTATATTATCACCACATATTTATACTTGATAGTTTATCAGATATGAATATCAGTTTACCAGGTACAATATATTTAAACAGAATAATGTAATGGTCTTAGTAAATCGATTAAATGAAATATCCCTTGTCAAAGGGTTACTATATATGTGTTTCTAATTGTTTTAATCTATAAACACGAAGGAGTTACCTCCCCTTAACTAAATCATGTCAATGTATATATGTTATACGCCGCCTACTTTCCTTTTTTCTGTACCACCTGTTGTCGCTATAAGGAGAGGACAAAGACAGGCTACGACTGATGTCCAATCCCACTGACATATGTTTTCGTCAATAAAATTGGTTGAAATTGAAATTGAAACTTCAGTGCGTCATCTACCGATATTTAAGAACCTATTCAAATGGAGTCATTGATGAATAGCTAACTTTTGAACAATTATACTTAGTCAATCTAGTAACTTCAGAAGTAATTTTATGTAACGGAGATTCAAAGTATACGGCCTTTGTACGGTCAGTGTGAGATAATGTACCTTCATGGGTCAATCTCGCTGGCTGCTATAAATGTACAGGAATGTTATAAAAGAAATGTATCAGTCAATCTTTGATACTAAATACATCTGAAAAAATCAACGGCATATTCATAGCGTTTAATTAATATGACACTTGTAAATCTTCAATGCTTTAATCCATACACATCTTTAGAATTTCCTCTCTTTTAAATGCTTCATGGAGATTCCATCATCTTTTTCGATTACTAGAACTTAACAGATTTGTAGAAAGTAAGATTAATTGAAAGAAAAATAATGTATAGAAAGATAGGATGATAAGCACATTAGATAAAAAAGCGATCAAAAGGAAAAAAAATATCTTAAGAAGGAAGACAACTTTAAGCCTTCCCAAAGGTTGAGTTCATGCTGTATTTTCCATTAAAAATAATTCAAAATTCATAAAAGCCACGATTTTGCTTGAATTGAGAACAGTCCTTTAATTCCATTCATGGTTTCGATGTATTTCGTACACGTTTTATGTAGTACAGCATTCCTTGGTACTACATTAACACATTAATTCCTGGGCCTAATTTATTTTCTGATTCATAAAGCTCCTTTCGAATCCGTCTTCATTATACCTACGCTGTTGTAAGTTGTTTAATCCAAAACAAATAGACTTTAAATTTACGTTTGTTACATCCTTAGTAATGTTTGAAATGTTTAAAAGAAATGCCGTCTCAAGATAGCATGAGCTGTTGCTGAAATCTTTGATAAATAAGAACCTTCAAATGCTATATACAGACCATGTATATTTTCCAAATATGCCACATCCTGGTAACGTTAAAATTGTCATACGTGATAAGCTGTATTCATGTGACGTAAGCTGTTTCGACGACGTAAACACCTGATAAGCAAGCAAACAAACGTTGTGATTGGGTAGGTTTTTCCATAGTTTATAGTATCTCGGACTTCCGCGTTCCGCGAAAGATGGAGAAAACTATGGCCAATTGTAAATGAGTCACATCGAAATGATCAATGCAGTACAAAAATTGTGCTTAGAAGTCCTTCAGTACAACTTTCCGTGGTTTTTTTTCCAAAAGGGTGTCCATTTATCTTGATGCATTCGTTTGCGATCGGTAACTCTAATACTTTGTGCTGATTTTTTTTTCCTTTTTGGAAAAGAGTTATATTAAATTAGTATCATTATTAAAAGTAATTAATATTACTTTGAGGGTGTCGTCACTTCCTCTTTAATAAATTGAAGAACATATTTAAAAGATGACGAAACTCGACCGCCACTTGGTTAAACGGTCGCGGCTTATAGTTGACAAGGGGCAGCCATTTACGTGATTCTGAATGGCCGAAATATTGATGTCAGATTTCGATGAATTTTTCTCTGTGTAGACGTTAATGTATTCTATAAGGAACAAAACTGGAGCTTCTTTCGGTTGGTGATTCAACAAAAACATTCACAAAACGTCTCCTCGTGAAGCGAAAAAAGTTGATTCTGTTCATAATTGACCGATTTCTCCCTCGTGCTATGAATAATGTGATTAATTTCCTTGAATTGGTTAATGACTAATTTCAATTTGTGACTATGAAATGTAGAATCATACGTTTCATACACAGGTGACCCGCGTGCTACTGAGGGTAAATGCAGTCATGGTGGTGTGAATGACTTCGGCAGGAACACTCCAGCAACAGGAGGGATAAACAAAGAAACACCAGATTGGAACTGGTCCCCACATGCTCATCTACACAACATATCCGGACAAACTGCCGTTCAAGCGACGGCAGCATTCTTCATAGACGCAAGTATGCTCTTGTAATATATCCCTTTAGGAGTGTTGATATGTAAATAACCCTGTCCCAATCAAAAACTTGTTGCGTTGTTATGTCCAGTTACTAAACCATCATTCACATAAAACACATCACAGAAACAAACTTTTCAACACTTAATCCTAGGCCAATGCGAAAGGTCAATCTTGACCAATATTGGTGCAATCTATGACATTGCGGTTTTATTCTTGAACAGATAGATTCTATTGTTGTCAATGTAATAATTTACTTCTTTGTACTTATTCTATCGAACGATAGCTTACAATGTGTAGCTCAGATACAACAGAAATTAGAAAATGCTAATCATGGCCCCGCATCGGCTGTATATTAAAAAGAGTGGTGTGATGAACTTGCATGTGTTTTCAAATTTGATTTTGCATATGACCGCCTTAACATAATGATATTATTTGATATCATAGGCGTCCAAAATTAAATGGTAAGGAATAGAAAATAATTAGCATGTTATCTTCCCATCAACATTCTTTTTAAGCTATCGCATACATACAACAAATATTGAATTAGGCGGCTAAGGCACCTCCTTATCTAGATTATGCAATTTCTTTCGATCAATTGAGTTTTGCCTCGTCCGCCTTCTAGGTTTTAAAAAAATTGGCCCTAAGTATAATGGACGAGTCCTGGAAGCCGAAGAAGCTGTATGGTGTAATTAAATTCCTTGTTTGGATCTACTGTTTCTGATCTAAATTGTAATTAAACGGCATTGTTAACTTTTTGTACCATCTTTGATTAACCCACAATACCCAAAATTTGGCTATGATTATTATTTCAATTACTAAAATTTATAAAAAGGTAATAAAAACTGAGTATATTTTAGTTATTGGTATTGTAAATATCAAACCCAAACAAATGGTAAGATAACAGTCGCCGTCTCAGTAAGCCCGCCCACTTGTGAGTTTTTGTAATTTGTCGTAAGAAAATAGATCTGCTTCGAGGATTCGTCCTGTTTTCCGTGGATGGGCATAAAATTAAGCAAAAATATAGTTTGAAAATTAAATACCTAGATGCTCTCTGTAAAATGTATATCTATTTTTAACGCTCGGTAAAACCGCGATAATTACAGCCATCAAACAAACAATCGTAACGGTATCCCAATTGTTTCTCAAACACACAAATAGGTTCCATTGCTATCTATTATAATAATCAATTTAAATACTTTTTTAATAATCGATTTATTCTCTGGCAATATTATGTAGTAAGTCAGTTAGATAGGGAATGACATAATTCCTAACTTGAGTTAAAATCTTGCGTCATGTGATGACAAAGAATTCTTGACCTTTTGAATTATGTAACTATAATTTCTATATTGTTAACTATTGGATCATGGTTTCCTTTATATATTTCAAACCTTCCAATCTGTTATCCAAATATTTTTGTTCTCGTTTCAGTTTCCTCTTCTTAATAGCTATATTAAATTCCAGAGTTTACTGATAAATAAGTTATACTGTGTCGATACACTTAATGTTCATTGCAAGGTGTTTCTGCTCTAAATTATATTGGTTATCTTGCTTTCATTTTATTTATATTATCGTCCTGAATTGTGTGTTCATTTGTTTAACAATAGATACATGGCTAACGTTTTTTGTAGGATTTAAAACAATGGTAGGCGTTGTTTATTATATATACATATATGACTCACTGCTACAATTCTATTTCGATAGCGACGGGTTTACTATCTGGAATTAACAGGACTACGATAACAGACGTTTTTAAACTGAAGAAACCACTACAAGAGTTATCTATGGGCTTTGTGATTGACGTAACTGGGTCAATGGCTAATGACATAAATTCTCTGAAAAACACACTCATCGACCGCCTGTCCGCAGTCATTGGAACTCCGAATGCACCACACAAATACGTTTTGTCTACATTCAGCGACCCCGGTATGTAATTGTTTAAAAACGTACCTAAATAATAACTGTGTTTGTAATGAAAAATATAGCTTTACTTGGATATGATTATTTCTGCTGCTTTTTAAGATAACATATCTCAAGTCATTTGATGTAATATATTTTTTATTTGTATTCATGTCTTTATTCAATTTCTCAAATAAGGAACTTTTGTCTGTACGTAGTAATTGACGTTCGATATGCTATTATTTTGACGTCCTAATTCGTTAACATTATACATCTTTTGACATTGTAATAATTTTTTTTTTTTGGCAAGTATAAAAACAATATTATTCTCGTTGTCATTCGTTTTACTAAACTCGTTATGCTAGTTTCCTTTACCTCCCCTGATTCTCGGTTATGTATGCCTTATGTGATACGGAAACTCATCTTAATCTGCTTTGTCATTCCGAAACATTTATCAAATTGTTGTCTAAAAATAGATTGTACGATTTAGCAACATCACGTCATCAATTTGGTGGAGTAACTCATTAGATCGATTGTTTTGACGTTAAGAAAACTAAAAGTTCAGATGATGCTGTGTCACTTTAAAATATATACTTTTCAAGACAACACATGGTAATACTGAGACTGATTTTTGCTTTCTTATAAACTTTCGATTGTATTTTCAATGTTTGGATAATGCAGTTCATTAGTGCGAAGAAGGAATAACACATATATGTGAATTATTTTTTGTAGGTTATGTATGTTTCGTGGCGTCCAATACAAACCAAAAATAAATAAATGAATTAGCACTTATGTTGAATTTTACAGCTAACCTTACCACCATTTTCGTTACAAATGATGGCCATGAGATGATACATAAGATAGAACGACTGACAGTTGGTGGGGGAGGCGATTGTCCAGAATACACCTTATCTGGGATATTAACCGGTAGTGTAATATTTGAAATATTTTAAAATAATTTTAATATCGGCGGAAACTCCACACTAATTCACATGGATCCCGCTCGCAGTATAACAAGTAAGATATCAATACAATACATAGAGATAGAAATGATTACCATTTCAGGTTCAATCCAATTTTATGACGTCAATATGTGAACATATATTTGGTGTAACCCTATAGGATATAAAGTCATCAATACCTTTACTTTGTAGCTATCAATGCCTCGGATCCATATTCCCTTATCTATGTTGCCACTGATGCTGATACCAAAGATACTGATATGGCAGACATGGTAACAGAAGAGGCGAATGCCAAGCATATCACCCTGCAATTCATACTCACAGGGAATTGTTCTGGTGTAACACGGCGTCGTAGAGGTAAATATACATCAATATATTGTAAATATTAAAATGTCTACTACGAGTTGGTCATTAAAACCAACCAAATGAATTACCCGCACAAATCAACCAAATAACCAAACAAAAATAAACGGTTTAAATTCCGTGCAGAATTTACATCCTCTACGACCTGAATAAGGCAAAACATGTCAAACAGCACATAATTATTGACAAATAACCAATCTAATTTCTAAAAGGATTAGCTTTTTTTCATCAATATAGTTTATCTGCTTTTTGGTCACGAACTTTAGCGTCCTCGCCACTGCATGTATTGTTTTGTAACGATGATGTGTGTAGTTATCGCCAACTGAGGCGTAAGGACAGGAGTTGCTTTGTAAGAAAAAAACATTGTATATCTCACAGGAAATAGTGTAGTGGAGTGCATGCCATGGAGAGGCATAATACATCATGCTTTGCCCAATATATCACGTTTTGGTCTTATACTGCCTTCCCTGGTTCACATTTGTTCAAGCTGGGATGACTTCTTATTGACTTTAAATCATTTCCGGCATTTTTGAACACAACATATATGGATAAAAACCTGCTTTATGATTTTGGAAACATCAATTTACAAATTATTATGGTAGTTAAGAGTATTCAAGGTCTATAACCCCTTCCAGTGTATTGGCATAAAAAAGTATATAAATTAGTCAGATTTAGTATGTATTTGTAAACTGATAACGAAACCACGATTTATTTCTTTATTATACAATTCTCGTTCACATAGATCGTATTCAACATTGACATTAATCTGTAGTGCTACAGTAAGATGTATATTTGATTGTTGATCAATACAGACATGTTTTTCCCAGAAAAACACGTCCGCCAGAAAAGAGATACTTCGAACATCTTCGAACAACTTGCCCAGAGTACTGGAGGTCAAGTTTATCATGTGGATCATAGCGAAGTTACTGCTACTCTGGATCATGTTCTCGAGGTAGGCAAACATTAACATTAGGTAAGTATATAGAAATATTTGTAATGACTGACCTGTAGCTTTTTCCATCCATAAACGGGCTCTCCACGTTAAGGGCAATACGATATTTTAAGAAAGACGCAGATGGCTACTACTATTGTAAAGGTCAATAACTAAGTTATTTGTTATTGAGAATACATGCACATTATAAGAGATAATAATAAAGAAAACAGACAAAAAATGACAAAAACGATTTAAAATAATGCTATAGCACCTAGTTTGATTCTCCTTCTACTTTTTCCATGATAATCTTTCTTTTGCTTATATTTTGTCATAGTTTTATTAAATTTGAGTTTGGATTATGATTTCTTTTGCCATGCTGTGATTTTCATGATTTCTTTATTTTTGTTTTTCCATCTTTTAGATATTTGTTTTTCATTTGGAAGTGTCCATGAAAATGTTTAATGTAGACAGCAACAAAAATAATTGAACAGATAACATTTATAATATTATTTTGGTGCTCCGTTCCTTGGTTTTGGAAATCTTTTGACCTATTTTGATATTTCTCAGTCCCCTCCCAAGTCTATAAAAGGACACGTAATATTACTAACGATTCCCATAAGACTAAAACAGCTGTTTAAAGCAGTTTTTATAATCATTGTTCGATCCTGTGTCTGGTTCAAAATCCATTATTGAAAGGAGTTATTCACTTGTGTGACTTTGACTATTATTTGTTTACAATAGGAAGTGAGATATTTTATTTGTTTCTCGACATTCTCCGTGTTTGTTGATATTAAACTATCTATTGATAAGCTGTTCATCATGTGACATTAAGATTTGTCAATATTCCGATTTGTCTCATTATATTCAAACTCTATCTTACTGCTTATCACCACAATGCATATTTGCTTAATGATGAATAAGACGTGAGAAATAAGTGTAAGGAATCGTTCCTGACAAAGCATACAAATGTAATGTAATACCTAATTCTTATTTTTTTAGAAAGATTTTCCCTCATCAAAAGCGATCATTGATTACTTTGTCCAAGCATCCACGGACAGTGACACAATGAATATCACTGTTGATAGTGAGGCAGCCGTCCTCGTCGTAACCATAGAAGGACCGTTCAGCGAATACCAGGCATCGTTGTATCTTCCAAATGGTAATAATATTGTTATCTATTACTTAAGTTGTGAAGGGACTGTTTTCTTGAATTCAACCATACAAAATTGTCACGACATCCTTTAAAACAACTTTGTATTTTTGATGGCAATAATTTTCTCTTCACTCCAGGTAGACAGATAAGCACATCGATGACAGATACTGTTTCTTTTCTAGTGAAACATTTGTACAATGATGTAGTTTTCGACTTTCATGGCTGTACTATTGCTCACACACAAACACACATAACCCCACAAAAACACGCACGTTCACACACATTCACACACACACACACACACACACACACACACACAAACACGCACGTACACACACACACAAAAACACCACAAAAACACGAACGTACACACACTCACACACACACACACACACACACACACACACACACACACACACACACACACAAAAGAACACCACAAAAACACGAACGTACACACACACATATTCACACACCCACACCCATCCCCCCCACATATATATATATATATATTTGAAAATAAACCACGATTAACCCCATTTCTTCACAAATATTTTTTCCTTTAACAACCTACCACGAAAAGGTTTGGAAATCATGATGATCTATCTATTAATGTTATCTAGAATTTCCATATATGTAGCATAGTATATCCATGTAGTTTACAAGATCACATATCGTATGTGTTGTATACAAAGTTCCTGTTTGCGACAATTCATCAGGGACTGGTTTATCTTTGAAGATCCTCTCCATTTGCTAACCTTTGTAAGTAGAGTCACCACCAAGCAATTATGATAGAAATATTTTCATATTCGTATCGGTTTTTCGGTATGTAATTTTCGAATATCATTCGTGTTTGCTGACACTAACACGTTTCTTTTTCATTGTAGGAACAGAGCAATCATTCCCTACAGCACGTGCTAAACGATACTATTCCAGTCATAAAATTACAATGTCAATTCAGGTGAGACTGAGTGTTCAATACAACGCGCAGACTCCATGTGCAACAACAACATCCCGGCTACAATGACTGCTTTTAATCAGCCCCGTCAATCAGGATAACTTAATATTCTAATACAATATTTAATTTTCCACGACGTGTGGTGGTTTTTAAGCATTTAAAAGTATATATAAGGAGATATAGTTCATATGAAAATCAGAAGCAATCGTTACTACACGGCGTCAATGAAGCACATCTAGCGATATCTACCTTATATAACACTGGTTTACTACGTTGTGAATTGGACAACTAACTTATAAATGGTATTCTAAAAAGATGCTTGTTTATTTCATCGATGAGATGAGATATCACGTCATACAATTGATGTATATTGATATAGGAACATAGACCTGATAACGGAGCTTTTTTAGTCAAAATTAAAAAATAAAGGTTAACACCTTCATTTCTGTATAGTTCATTTCGACAGTCGCTTCCCACTAGAATTTCTGTTATTTCTGTTGGAATGTATGTTAAGATATGTAACATAAACACACTGGTTTCAATGTTAATCTTATAAAACTAGGATTTAAAGTTTCGACTTCATTTTGACATTAGTGAGATATAAAACGATTAAGCCTACTACAAGTGAATTGTAACTCCTTTGTAAACATTACAGGGACATTACTCGGTACATTTACACAAAACATCATAAGAAATAACCATACCATCCAATTGATGAAACCATAGAAGTATATAGATAATAGAAAGTCTTACACAGAGTCCCATGGAAAAGTATAGAATAGTAATATCAGGTGGTTCAGAAAGGTACAAAACTATAATCGTCTTCTGTTTCGTCGACGTCATCGTCATGTAAATCCTTGTCAATCCATGTAAGTAATGGCACGTTTCAAATTTGAAGAAGTTAAACTAAATCAGAACCACAAAACATACCATCTACCAAATCTACCTCCCATTCGCACAAGAATATTACCTAACACGAGTATTATAACGAACGTAGAATTTCCCAATCAATCAATCAACATCTGGTAGCTCAGGAGTCGAGTTAGGCATGGCTATACTTGAATGTAAATTATTTCTCCCGTCTTTTCATTTAGATAATACGATGCTCACAAAATCTGCTTAAAATGCATCTGTTTTGACTCTCGCGTTATAGATAATAATTTATATAGCATGAAAAATAGACAAGTCTTCGGACAATTAACGTATTCATAGAAATATACATAATTGCCATGTTTACATTCCAGTAACGTCACGTTGTTTACAATGGACGTGTGTAGTCTGAATCGGCTGACACGTATGTTGTGATGTGTCATTTGTAATTGTAATGTTAGAACTTCCGGATAACAAGCACATATGCAGCTTTATCGTGAACAATGGAATACATTACAAATTTGTAACTAAACTTAAGCTTATACTGTTTGTGGGAGTTTACATCTCGAAAAAAATCGATTGTCATGTTTTCTAAAGGTTTATTCTAGAAGTGTGCGGTCATCCTTTGGAGATGAGTATTTATTGGAATAACAAAAAACAAAAAACAAAAAAATGCCGCTTTTTCTGTGATGTCGAAATGAATAGCACCGATGCTCAGTTTGTGACGTGTTTATTACACACTCTTGCTAGGGACTTCATCAAAACCATTTAAGAGTTCCTGTATGTGAGAGGAGCATTAAAATCACTACACAAACTTGTGCCGGCGAAACCCTTTTCTTGGGAGTGTGTCACTAAATTAAACACTTGAATGGAATCTACATTCAAACCACAATGATATTAAGGAGCAGTGTTTTTTTAATTCCCGGGTTATTATGTAAATCTGTCTTTATTATGTGACAAATTGCTCTTACTGGAAATCCGGCTGATTATGATATCAATAATACCTTATGCGCTATAAAGTATCTGACTTTATGGAATAACACTGCGAAACTCTATTGTATGTGGAATTCGCGGTTACACTGCTTTAATTCAAGAACATGTATGATGTCTTCGACAATGACCATTATCGATAGACCTTGATCCACTCCACGTAATCTAAATTGCGGTATTTACAATATCCTGGATGCTCAAATCGGGTCAGCTAGGAGGTATTATTTCTTTTGTCCCGTTTGCGCTTGCAAATTGCAAAATTTATTACATTCCTTGGCTAGTGCACCTTCTTATGAAGATTGTGATCTTTGAAAAAACAATTTTAATTTCTTAATTTGCCTCTATTGTTTCAAAATGAAGGTACTATATTCAATCATATGCTACACACATGTTACACATTTTGCAAGTAAATCTTTCCTGTAAAACATTGATGATTCAACCTGGTAAATTTTGAAGTTACGATTTCAAATTCCCTGTACTGTACGTTCTTTGTATGTGATATTTGTTTCATTATTTTGACGACAAAACAAGTGATTATCGAATTTCAGTTTTTTTACTGAACATATTTTTGCATATATTCATGATTATTTCCTGTACATTTTTTGCAGAGACCCCCTCCTGGAATTTGGAACCTGACCCGATTAACAAGCAATGACTGGAACGTGAATGTGACAGCATCCACTTATTTGGATATCGACAGTCAACTCAAAGAAGTTGAATTTGGAATATCTTATGTAGTGGACCGTAACCCTATCATTGGTACGTCAAATCGTTGTTACGATCTTACATACATACTGCTTGAAATATATAAAGTAGTCTTGATAATTAAATAAAATAAATGCAGTATTAATTAATTAAGGGCGACATGAACATATAGCAAGGGTCGTAACGACATCTGGTTTCGGCATGAAAATATTTCAAAATAATATATATTCTTTATAGCAGTACATTTATCTCAAAACATCCATATTATCATATGTGATATGCTGTTATTTATAAAATCGTCAATTCCTTAAAATATAAAATTCAATGTTGTCGACCAATTGCCACAGGTAAGAATTACACTCTGGAAGTCCTCGTCTACAGCCTTAACTCATCGTCGTCAGGCTTTCATCTGCATCTGTTAGATGAACAAGGGACTGATTTGTTCAGTCAACCTGTGGATATAATATTCAGTTTTACGAAAATTACTGGATATATGCAAATCGTTATTCCTAATAAGGTAAGAAGGGAAATAGTCAATAATTTCTAAACCTGCATTAAATGTCAACTTGAACCATTTGATTATCAAAACATGTTGTTTACAAAGTAGAATGAAAAAAAAGCTTATTACTTAAAGTGTAATCTCGCTAATTCCTGTTTGAAAATTTCGTTTTTCTTTATATATGACTGGCATTTGAAATGGCGTTATCACACTGTTTGCAATAGTTTTTTTTTTGGTATTTGATCACTACAGTTGTTTTTCGAGGTTTTCGGAAAGTAGTATTCCGGAAAAATATGACTTTATTTAGATTGGTATTTAGTTGCTCATATAACTAAGATGGCCGCGCCTGTTGCATTTTAAAGAATTAAACAAGCGATATTTCTAAAATTTTATTGACGTGTTTATTTACGATTTTCATTTTCATGGAAGTAATTCGTCGTTCTCGTTCAAATTGCATAGCAAACATTCAAACTCTCTCAACTCTATTTCTTGGACGAGTCGCATTATCCCTATGGTCGCGTCTATTTCGAGATAACGAGGTGTGACTTTATTTCGTTACTAAATTTTCTATCACGATTTTTGAAAATTTAAAGAAAAGTTTAAAAAAAACATATAGGAGGGGTTTTGGGGGATTGGAAAACATTATTGATACTTGCAAGATTGGTTTCAGATATGCATCTTGGAAACTCTTTCAGTACTAGTGTAGCCGTTAAAAACTAGCAAAACCTAGACATTCAATGTCACATTAAAATATATGTCTTGTTAAATAGCAATATATACCGTATACTTATCACAACCTAAAGTTATGTCTACCATATCTGGACACCAAAATACACCAGATCCGTCTTCAGTTTCCATTTACCTCCTACTTCAAAACCTTCAAAACACTTTCCGTCAGGCATGAGGATTTTGGTTTCTGTGTTTTGCAATTTCCATTTCAAGGTGGTCCCTGCTTCAACGATCTGTTGAATTTACTTTTCGCTTTTGAATCAATATTCAGTGATGCCACAATTTCTCTCCTTCATATTTAGTATCAGTTTGAATTTATATTGTGCTAGAATGTTGAAACTGTTTGGTAATAATTGTTTAATTTATTGTTATATGTTTATATTTTAACGGGAATTATTTGTCTAAAGATGATATACTGAAGGAGTTGCTAATTTCTGAATTTGATGTACCTATTAAGAACCGGTTCAAATGACGTCAAAGTATTGTCACCGTAACAATTTTATTTTTATGGTCACTTTGAACAAATCAAATCCATCGAAATTCATAATTAAACCGCGTAAATGAAACACATATATCACATGATTATTTTGGCAGCGAAATAGGAAGTACGATGTCCGCATGTATCAATATAATCCCATACAAATTTGCAAATAAATTCAGCTCGATGCATTTTGAATTTCTACACATTATATACAGTAAATATTTTATTTTGCGTTGAGTAGTAGAAGCATAGAATTGCAAAAGTGTAAATATCAGATAAGTACAATATTTATAAATAAGCATCTTGTGATTTCTTAACATGATCGGAATATCTCCAGAAAATTTTGAACTTATTTCAAATTAAAATTCTGTGTAAGTCTAGAATTCAAAACATCTAAATTTTCAAGTAATATGTACGAGACTGAATTCTTTAAAATACACGATTTTTATGAATGCACCCAGTTGATACCTTAATCGTGAAAATCATTTTAATGCGTTCATACATTACCAATATGCACAGTTTTCTTGAATAACTGAATTTTTAATTTGGTTGCGAACGAAAGAGTATCAATTAATTGCTTTTAAAAGTTTTTTAAATATTTTTTTTCTGTTTTAGAGCTTCTATGTACAGTTAAGCGGTATCGATCAAAATGGTTTTAAGTTCAAGAGAATGTCAAGAAAACTTACTACGCCTGTTGGTGTGGATTTATTTGTGACCCCAATACTAGGTGAGAAGGAACCGGCTAACATATCATTGGAAGTTCTGGTAGTAGGTTTACCCTGATGTCCAACGTATTTTTTTCAATTAATCTAGTTTTCCAAAGGTTGAAATTATTGATGGTGTCTTGATATGTAAACGTAATGGATGATTTATCTTCTCGATATTACATCTTTACATCGTTTTACCAACATAATTGAATTATAGTGGTGTGGATTTATTTGTACCTTTACCATCAGGTGAACGAATTACAAACGAGACAGATAATTCCTTACAATGAATGTTTCTCTATATACTACATCAGTGTATTATTCTGCGTCACTCAAGAACAACCCTCTTTTTCAAATTATTTCCTCTTATATCGGATTGGTGATCAAATCAAGAAGGGAATTGGAGATTTTAAAAATGTTAACAGTCCTTGCAGCCTCCGAAGTAAAATGAATACATTTGTTCAAGGTACAACAATAAAATGTCCTCTTTTAGATGTATATTTACGCTATGTTTGAAATCATCGGTTTGGTTATTGTCCAATTTGAGCAGATCACAACACAAAGCACGTGTCCAATGATAATGAAAAGTCATTAGTATTTATACTAACAAGTTTTATTTGAGAATCATGTCGCTTTCTATGTTATTTGACTTAGCAAAATCACTTTGAATCACTTTCTTAATTAATATCAATAAACACCTTAGTACACGACATATATTGATATTCTATATTATTAAATATTTTTTGTACAAAAACATTCAACTGTTAATTGTAAAATTAAACAGCCGATGGAGGCAATGACATTTGCGATAAAAACACATGGAATTCGGATCCAACTATGTCAATCAGGGATCGACACTAACGGTAGCCCGTGGCTACTGAATATTTTGAAGGGCTACCAATAGTTTCAAAATCAGTAGTCTGTCGGGCTACTTCAATATTTTGTGAAATTCTTTCCGTTTTACGTAGTTCAATTGTCATAAACAAGACAATATTGGTCAAGTTTTCATTTCCGGTTGCACAATCACTTGAACGTTTGCTGTGTATTGTCACTCTCTATTAATCAAGCGTTATAAAGATTCCGTCTTTTGTGCGTTTGAAATACAGTACGAAAGGTACTTGAAAAATTCAAGCGTGATATCGATCGTGATTTAAATCAACATGTCGATGTTATTGAAGTGGCTGGATCAGCCAATCCCTCCTCAAAAAAAGCTGAAAACAACAGACAAGAAGGTTGCACAGGAAGAATATGAGCACAATAGACGCGAACGCAAGTTCCAAAGCAGTTGGCTGAAATCATTCTCGTGGCTACGTTTTGAGAATGACGAAATGCACTAATAAATTTGTTGTCAGCCGATAGCCATACAGACTAAGACAGCATATCATAAAATTGATGTAAACATTGTTTTAGTCTCGTGCTTTGTAATTTCTTTACTAACTGTGCTAGTGCAGCAGGGCTACCAGACATTTGGAAGGGCTACTGCAATCAAGTAATTGGTAGCCGTTCGGGCTACTGCCTTCAAAATGTTAGTGTCAACCCCTGTCAATGCAATAGTGTGTATATTTAACATAATTTTAAGAATTATATTTGTGCAGTATTCGTGGGTACATATGTATGTGTGTAAATGTGTATGAGTTGTTGTATGATAAGTTACATTTAAGTACATCTTCATGACCTTGCTTTATCCTCAATTGGTACCTAATATCAATTTCAAAAGTATATAATTATTTTGTAGTTCTAGTAAATTAGCCCAGGTATTTTTCTTCTCTATTTTTCCTGTGTTATCCTGATTTGTGCTAAACATCAATTTCAAAAGTGTCAGAATATCATGTTGTACTAGTCAAGTGAATTGACCCAGGTAATTTGCTTTTTCCTTTTTTCGTTGTTTATTTCACTTTGGGCAATTTATACAGAAAGTATTTGTCTGTTTTCGTTGTCAATTGCAATATTGTCAATTAAATTTAATTTCATGAATCTGTTGAAACTATACATAAAGTCGTTTCATGTTATCATAATAATAATTATTAATTATTATATTATATCCTATCATTGTAATTATATTTCTTTTTTCACAGTTAACCTTGACACCGGGATACCACACAATATTACATATACATTAAGTAACTTGGGGAGTTCCACTCAGACCTACACCGTTAGCATCACTGATGACAAAGGAAGGCTTATAGGTCCAATATCTCAACAACAGATATTGCCTCCTGAGAATTCAACAACAGGAAATTTTCAGATACAAAGTCCCCTCGAATTGGAATTTGTGTAAGCATTACTGTATGGTTTAAATAAAAGTTTACCACTTTATCTACATATAGTTTGTAACGTTTGTAATACAAAAAACAATTTACCTCAGTTGTTTTAGCGAAGTATATTGGGTACTTACCATATGTTTTAATGCCTTTAATATAAGACCCGATTTACGTTGGCGTTTAAGCTTTTAACTTGGTTCATTTCAGATATTCATGTTTGTTTCAGCACAAAAAAGAAATGTGTTAAAAATTAAATATTATTCGCGTATTTGTAGTGAGGGAATACATGTATTTTCCATTCTTCAACATTCTGTTGATCAGTGTATTGTGTTACAGATAAAAAGGTATTAAATCCTTTGCTTATGATCGTTATTAAATGTAATTGAAACGTTTATTAGTGCAATGCTGCATCTATGGACAAGTTTCATTTTGTATTGTTCAACATCTTATCAACACCTTTGGTCACTGAATGACGGCATCCTGTTGTATGTTAGGGGAGCGAATGTGTTTAGTGAGTATGCTTTCTGGAGGCTGGGATATGTTTTGTGTAAGACTAGATGTAACTGTGCGACTTCTGTAGCAAAACATCCCACTACCGGAACCTACACTTCATCAAACTGTTACGATGCATAGATTTAAAAAATAGCAAAGGTGGGCTAGACACTAACATCACAAACCTAACACTCGACCTTATCCAAGATCTTCTGACGCTTTTTAAGTGTGTGAAGTATGACTAGAAATGAAGCCGCTAGAACGCTGACAATTTTTCATAGACACAGGGTAGAACTGATCAACGCTAGGACGGAAAAAGAGGAAAACTGCAATTTTTTAATGTGACATAAACTTAAATCATTTGAAATTATAATGTTTAAGATATAACATGCATTTCAGAAAATAACTCCTTCATGTTTTGAAGACACACATTTTACGCAGGGACTCTAGGTTAGAAATATTAAGCTATACTAATATCTAGATTATGTTTTTATCTGCAGAACTTACACAGTAAGTGTCAAGCTGTCAGGATCTACAGATATCCTTCAATCGAGCACGTCTACAGTGATGGTGAGTATACTTCAATAAACTCTGCATTATTAAACTGTAAACTTGTTTTATTAAGCATCAAATCAGGGCGTTCTTTTTATTTAATAACTAATGCGAAACAAGCTAAAATCTTATATTGATTACCATTACTTGCCTTGATTGACTGAGCGTGGAGAAAAGCAGGCTTATCTGGCAGTTAAAAATATAACATTCGCGTCTGATCTGGGACTCATATCTCAGTCGGCTTGGTGAAAAGCGGTAGTGTAAACCTATGCGCCCCCCGCCCCACCCCGAACTTATTTCACCATAACGATGTCATACGTGATAGATACATTGAACATTAATATTCACATAAAGTTTGTTTATGTATAGATGTAAGAAGGTGTAACGTAAATATCAATATTCAATGTGATATATTAAATTGTAACTAGCTAGTTTCACCCCCCCTGTTAATATTGTTGTCATTCTCGTAAAGATTCACCCACACAAACAGCCACCTTTATTTTTGCCTTGTTTTTAAATGCCTAAATTCATATATAAAATGTGTTATTATGACTTATTCTTGTTTATTTTCGAGCAGTTTGCGGGTCCTGTATGTTCCTCAATCGTTTCTCGGAAATGCAGATTGGCAAACACGAAAAATAAGTGTTCGATGTCCACTTGGTCGGCAACAGCTATCTTTTCCTTTGAGGTAGCGACTTACATCAGCGTTCAAAACGTTTCAATGACCATTGACCCAGTGAATGCGAAACGTTTACAACTCAGGTATGTACTTAATTATTCGTCTGAATATGAATAACAGATGTATATTTTATCATATCACTTTATATTGAATTAACGATAATATTTCAATTAACACTCGGTTTAGTGTGAAAACTGTATAGTTACAGAACCATCATAGTTTCTCTAGGCATCTTGTATTTCGCAATGAGCACCGCTTCACTATCCGGGCAACCATTATATCAGGAACTGTTTTTTTTACAATACAAACATTAGTTAAATTTTACTTTCCTTATCAGATCACTGACCTGTCTTGCACCATTCGTTATTGTACATATAAAATGTGTGTTCATCTTATATGTTCTTTTATAATACATTCAAAAACTGTGGACAATTGTGGACAAAATCCCGTGATTGTCAACATATATTTTCTCTTAACTGTGGTATTAAATATTTCAATTTGACTGGTTTGTGCAGATATACATCTTTAGTATCAGAAATATATAATACTCTGTACTACAGGGGCGATTGTTGTCAGGGCAACTTCTCAGTGACTGCTAAACCATCAGTCGGAAGCGGATGTGAAACATCCGAGAACGTGGTTGAATCAGACGATCAAGTTGTGATAAATGAGGTTGTAATTCCTGGAATAACAAAGATCCCAGAGACTACTACAGCAACTCCGGAGATTACAACAACAGAAATCCCAGAGTTAACTACGGAAAGTAAAGAGGTAACTACCGAAAATACATTGGTAACAACGGAAAGTACAGAGGTAACTACGGAAAATACAGAGTTAACTACGGAAAATACAGAGTTAACTACGGAAAGTACAGAGGTAACTACGGAAAGTACAGAAATAGCAACAAAAAATCAAGACGTTGCTACAAAACTTACAGAAAAGACAACTGAAATCCCAGCAGTCAACACAGAATTACCAGTAGTTACAGACCACAATGTAGGTGACCGGTATTTTTCTTGATTTTTTTCAAATCGCCAATACGCTTTATTTGTTCTGTATTGATATTTCTGATTCATGTTCCCAATATTGTATCCATATTCGTACAATCATATAAAAATCCAAGAACATTTAAGCTTTTTTGGTTAGAACACAACGCAGACACAGATGATAAGGTCAACGAGGATAATACCAGATCTAACGTTATTTAGTTATTGTCCACAAGAAAAGTTTTCTGTGCCACCAAAAGAAATAGGGTGTACATTACATCGATAAAATTTATATTATCAACATGAGTAATCAGTTCTATTTTACCCCCAAATCAAAGACTTTGAGTAGGCAGCTCTGTAAGCAACTAGTACAGAATTTTTCAGATCGAGATAGGTAGGACTAAATCAGTAAGTGTCATCCTATATCAGATATTGTCTTCTTTGGATCTGTCATCGTCAAAAAACAACTTCAGAGTCAGCTCTTATCCTCAGTATACTGTTGTTCACATCATTATACTAGAATGGTATGTACCAACTACCTGTCAATAGTACATTTCGCTCCCCTTTGTGAAAAAGAAAAAAAAAAGGTGGAAAACATGCATGTTCTTTATAATGTGTTTTGGCAAGGCGATGGAGCACATCATAAGATCAAATTCGTAAATATCAATTATTTGTACCTCTCCCAGCATGAGAGTAAAAACGTTGTGAGACTCGGTGCATAATGAAAATACCGAAAAAATTTCACAATCAGGCAAGAAAACACACCTTGTTCACTCTGACTTCAATAAGGATTTTGAAAAGTTAGCCATAAATATAATTACCGAACTTCTATATAGGGTCAGAGGTCAATTCTGTTGATCAAATGTATCCTGAATGGGTTATCATAATAGATAATCTTTAAAGACGACAGACCGACTTCCATACACTAGAATTTACTTGTTTAGGTGGTTATTATCTAGCTGAGGGGTACCCCAATGGGTCTGCTTGTGGGTCAGTTTAATGTTTGGTATTCACAGGTTTAGGTGGTCATCATTTAGCTGAGGGGTAGTCCAAAGGGTCTGTCTGTGGGTCAATTTAATGTTTGGTATTCACAGGTTTAGGTGGTCATCATTTAGCTGAGGGATACCCCCAAAGGGTCTGTCTGTGGGTCAATTTATACTCTGGAATAAAGTAAGTAGGAAGACCAACAGTCCGCCGTGGTACCTTAGAATTAACATAAAGTATTACATCTTAAACTGCAGTTAGGTTCTAATAGGATATTAATTTTTTGTTGGTATTTTCTTTCTGCGAGTATACAGTTATTTTGATAAGACGTCGATACTAGATTCTGGAACGCAGACCTGTCTGTGTCGGTTTTGTAAAACCATTAATGAATTTATTTGCCATTCCAATGGAACCATTCATTGTACAGTCCATACGAACCTCTCAGCACAGCTATACTTCTTCATAGAGTGTTTATTTCTCCCTCTCCTCTCTCTATCATTATTATCACTCTTTTCCAAGCAAACGGCATACACATGCCTTACGCTCGTTTAAAATGGCCAACACTGCTCTCCATCTCCCAAAATTATCACTCTACCAACCATGCTTTTAATCTTTTAATCTCTTTGATAACTCCTTGTTATTTAATTATCTTATTCATTCTAATCAAAATCACTAAAGTTAAATTTCCTTACCTTCGCTGTCAATCATCCTCGATACTCAAAGTGTTACGATCACTTTCGCTATCTGCATACCTGAAACACGTCACGGAAAAATTAACTGCACAAGCGAAATAGATTGACTGGTATCAGGAGGAACAAGATGTGTTAATGAAACACTATGTCCCCGGTTGCAACACAATCATGAAGTGAAACATTATAACCGTACTGTGTAAGGCAAGAGCCAATTGCATGCACACTTTGTGATACACCTATGTCTTCAATATGATCTGAACTCCCACTTAAACACAACGTGTGCTCGTAAACTGAGATAATAAGTGAAACTGCACATTGGTCAATATGTGCACTCTAAACTATTGAGAAGGTCACAGTCATGGTCACGAAGCGCAAACATTTGGTACCACCGGAACGAACTTGGCACACGAAACACACATGCAAAATATGAAAGCGTTGCAAATTACGATGCAATATTTATTGCCAAGATTAACGTAGAAAACAGACAAAAAAAAAACAAAACAAAACAAAAAAAAACAAAAACAAAAAGAAGAAGAATACAAAGGAGCGACCCCTAATTTCAAAGCCATTGCAATATACTGTTATGCGATTTTGAAATTCCTTCGATGTACATCAAATGATCAAACTAGTCTTTTATTCTTGTCGACAAGGTGTCGCACATTAAACCTTTGCTATGACATGTTCCAGGGAAGTATATAGGGAAAGTAATATTGTAACTCCTGGTGTGTCAAGGATGACTTTTAACAATCTGGTCTTTGCATTTAACACACTTTTTTAATTTAATCGCCACATACTCTCACGCTGCACATAATGATTTAGAATTAAAATACATATAGACATCATTATAAGCTACATCGTTTTCATATATAAATAAAATATATATTGTGGGTGAACATAGACATTCGTCAGAATCATTCTATTTATTATAATTACAATCCCTACGGCCCGTCAACACAAAAAAGTTCATGAGGGCCATCAACTGGTGAAACACGCAGCGATCCAAAAAGGAAAGAACAATATCCTAGTATACATTATATGTTATATATTTTAAATTGTTAGATATTCCATGGCATAGATAGATATGAATATTTAAATTATCTTTAAAAACAAACCTTCAGAATTCATTAGAGTATGGGAATCATACACATTCATATTTGAAAATCATTTTGATTTCATATGATATTACCTTTATATTATGTACAGTAGACATTTCGATGACGGAAAGTCCTAATTCTAAAATCCATTACTCCGTTTCAAATTTCTTATCAAGTAGTCCTATACAAAGTCAAGATAACGTTTTCAACACTCTCAAAAGGAAACTTTTCCATCTCTTTACCATATTTTATTTCGTCATATACATCAATGAAGGTTAGCCCGAAAATGCAGTCAAACCACAATTTACTGTTTAATAAACACTTAACCTACCAACCGGGAAAGATAATACAACCAAAACTGCGAGGAAAGTCTTTCTATTTATTTTCAAATAATCTTAAATAACTTGTTCGTTTTTATTGCAGATAACCAAAGAAGCTTTTGCTATTATTGTATCTATTGGAGTCGGGTCTACAGCTATAGTTCTCGCCATAGTCATTGGTGTGATAGTATTAGTAGCCTGTCTGAAACAACCCAGGAAATCAAAGAAGACGGAACATTCGCGGGAACACACCCATTATCCTTCCTGGTATGACAATGCTCTTAGAATTCAATCGACCAGCTCTGGACGATTACATATTTCGAATAATGCTTATTGTTTGCAAGAACGAATGTATAAATAATTGTTTTACATAAGCGTGTTTCCGCATAGGTTTCAAAATCCAGGTTCTTCATACTACTGACGAGTCCTAGAATTACGAAATAGCTGAAGTATATAGTTTAAATATTTTGTTCTACTCTATTTAACTCTACATTCACATTATGAGAAGGTGTTAACAGTTTTCTGTTTTTTCAACAATCATAACATGATATTGGTATTAATATTCGTATGAAACATGATTGTAATATCTACGAGGAATCAGATATATCATATTACATACTATTTCAATAGAATGAATCTGAATTACCGACTCAGAATCAGTGATTTCATTTCGCTCGTACGATTGTGGTAGACAAGATCAGATATCTTAGACCCTTGTATTGAAAGAGTAGAAAATACTAATTAAGAATGTAAAATTTATACACACTGACCACTTTGATATTCTAAGTACTAAACTGATGAGAAAACACAAGGCCTAGCCATAGATTTGTAAAAAAAATCAGTGTTAATTGTAGACTTTTTATGTTTGTGAATATATAGATATTTTTGTAATAAATTAGCTTCGTTGCTTATGACCATGGTTTTTGTTCAAATGACATAAATTTATCACAGAAGATATGATATATAAGAACATATATGCATGTTAGGCGCACATAAGGATTTGACTATAGAAATTTCATAAATACTCGTCTGACAAATTGATAAAGCTAAAACGGAATGGATAGCAGATGAAAGGGTGTTGTAATATGACCTAATGATCATATAATTATAGCTAGTGATGAATATGTAAGAGTTGATACAAGACGAAGAAATAGGTTTTATGAGGAAGTAGGATTGAAGCAGTTGGCCGTCAAAACCAATTATAAAAATAAGACGTATAACTGTACAATATGTGTAGCGGAAAAAAGTAGGATGGAGCATTAGGAACATCATCAATCGAAGCAACTATTTTTCTGCAGAATAGGGGAAATTTGGAAATATGTTTTATATATATATATATGTATTATTTTTCCACTTATCGCAAGGGTTGATTAAACAGTAATCGAAATGTTTCTGTAAACAAGAAATAGACAAAAATAGAATCATACATGCACTACATCAAGATCCCATTATTGTCTTCTCTTACAGATGTGACACGATGTCTTCATATTTCGAAAGTTTCTTCACAGTCCCTTCATGTTCGTCACATCAACATTGTGTACTGGATAATTGATAAGTCATGTTGATATATTGATTGATGTTGCGTTAGAGTTGCGGTTTGGCTAACCCTAATGATATATCACTATCAGAAATCATTGTATATGTTGACTATAACAGAATCTTATTTGTCACAGAAATATTAAATATTGCATGTGAAATAATTAGTTTGTGATACTTATTTTCAATCGTCATTAATGATCCGTTTACATATGTGCTTAACACGAGACAACCGAAAGTATTTGTAATGCTTACACTGGTATGTCACGTGAATCATTGTTTTTCAAACTGATAAATATATTTCAGTGCTGACGATTAAGCTAGTTATTTTCGCTGGGATGATATTTTCGCGATACAATAGCGTGGTTACGAAAATTTAATCCGTGAAATAATGCGACGCGTGTGTATGTACGTCCAGAGTGCGAATTTTAGTTTGTTTAAATATTATTTAATTGTTTCAAATGACAACCACGAAGAGAATGACCTATGGAAATAATCAGCTATACGGTAATCCTAAAAACAATCTTTTCATAGAATTTTGAAAGTCAATGGACAGGTATGTATAAGCTTTGACCTGCATATTTCAGTGGAAGATCCAAACAGTTTCACTTCTGATCTGTCTTCCTTATCAATTAAAGATGAAAATACCAATATCGTTTTTAAATAAGTATCTTGCTGTCAATGTTATAACACATATTAAATAAGTTTTTGTCGGTTCACCTATTTAATAGGATAAAGATAAGCTTTTATTGGTTGAATGTTCATATAAGTCAATGGTGATCTAGAACTTCAATGGCTTCAAGTGAACTGTGACGTCAACAACAAAAAATGATATAGAGTGAAAGCTTACGAAATCTTAGTTCTGTCGAATAAAATGTTATTTTCTCGAATTACAAACGTGTTTAAGTAATGTAATACAACGAATCCTACATTTGTTGTCTTTTAGCGCAACATTTTAAAAAGTTTTAATTTAACCCGCCAGGCAGTTTGCGAAATGGAAAAATCCTAAATCTGTTTTAGAAATCATCATATAATCGAAAACGACCATCAAATTTTATATTAAATTGAAATTAATAATTTGAACATTTTAAAAGTAATGTTCTATATAAAAAATGTACCAATATCTAGAAATTATGCCAGGAGTTACTTCCCCTTTCTCAATTTGTTAATTTTATTAGATAATGTTTCGGTGCTTATAGCATTTCATTACGTGGAGTTATGGAGTGGATAGGATATTGAAAATTTCTATATAAATAAGTTACTCCATGGTTAAATACAGATAGGACACAGGATTCTCTTATTAATACTATCAAATTTGTCAAAATTTGTGTATTAAATTTTAAACGATATATTTTTGTTTGTTGATAAGATGTTAAATGTTATAATGTGACAGACAAAACATTGTTCAAGCCATCAAAGTGTCTCAGAATGGCATAAGATATAATTGGTACATATTAGATATGTATGTTATACAAATGTGATGCATATATATATAAAAATATCATTTAAGTCACCGACAAGTCAAAGAATACAGATCATAATTACTACATATCAACTATGTCTGCTGATATTGCAACTTAATTGCACATGTGAATTATCAACATTTTTGCATTCTCTATTATATTTCAGCGCGTTTAATGAAGTTTGATATCGCATTTCATATCTTTTTTTTTTGCATTTGTGTACTAAATTTGTGTGTCACAGAGTTTTGTCAACTAGCTAATATATTTTCTCCTTTGTTTCTATTTGCTGTCCTTTGGCTCATGAAAGTTATTTACAATTTGCTGAAACTACGATATATAAAAAATATTGCTTTATTCACATTATTTCTCACGTCATTTTCGAAAATGAAGACAAATTGATTTTCTATTGAACGCATAGAATTAAGATGAAACTTTTTTTTTAATTGTGTAACATATGCCTTTATACTAATTTCTCTAGAATAACTGCATAATGACCTGAGTCATTACAATTACATTATGTTTTGCTCATTTGTCGTTTCTAAAACAATTATTTTATACGAAACAATAGATAATTAACATATCGATACAGAAATAAAGGGATAAATATCCGTTTCCTTCGTTTTCATTTATATCGGTATTTCATGATATTTTATCTCTTATCGACATTTAAAAGTCTAAATCAATAAAAATACTCGAATAAAATGTTAATTGTTTTAGTCAAAGTGAGAAAACACAAGTTGTTTACACCTCATCTATCGTGAAAAGTCAGCGAGCTTTTGTCATGGCGCGGTTCCATCATCACCTATTTCCTTTTTTTAATGTAACTTCTCCAGAATGCCCGTTCGATAACGACCAAATTTGAATATTCAAAATGCTGAAATATTTGGGTCTCGCACAATGTAACTATTCCTTTCATATATGATGAATGAAGAAATAACGACAGTGCGTGAATTGTCAAATTCTTATGGCAATCTGCCACTTTATCAAGACATAAATATTGCATAAATAACATCACATGCATAGAACATAAAACAAATTCAATGTTATAAAATAAAATGGAGAACGGCAGTGTAAATTTTGATGTCTTGATAATCCTTTCGGTCGATGGACTCCGAAGGCCCTTGATTACTATCTAGATTCTGTATAAATATATATATATACCTATCAGCCATACATAAGACCAGCTTCTGATCTTTCTTGTTTTGGTTTTAATGCCTTGCACATAATGTTAATCCTGAACGCGATACCAATCTAATTTCATTATACATAACTTTAACCTGTAGTCATATATTCGTTTATAATTCATAAATAAACACACATTCTTCATATTTAAATGCTATTCATCATGGCAACATGTAAAGTAAGAATTATCTATCCCGGTAGCTCATCAGTTATGACATAAAACAATTAAATGAAAAACAAACAACCATAGAGAGAAGTTATCTCGTTCAATATGCTATCTCGCTTAAATAAAAGAACTACACGTCTGGCAATTTATAACTGGAAAACAACCTCTACAAGTATGTAAGAAGGCGTCTTGTTTATTGTAGTTATCCTTTTTAATTTTGTATCAATAATGAAGCATTAAGATATAGTGGATATTGAGGGTAGGGCGATCTTTCAGCTGTGTCTGCCTACATCATTGAATGAGATGTTCGGGGGATGTTGTATACACATCAAATTGTATTGTACAAAGGACATAAAAGACAAATAGAGTATTTCAATACGAATTTTGCGATATATTCACACATTTTATGTCAGATATTGATTTACAGACATCTGATAATAGGGTTCTAAGGTACACGGAATTTTAAAAAAACCGAGTAAAGAGAACATTCGAGGGCGTCAGAATCCCTCAAGGATCTCTTACTGAAAAAGTGGTGTAGCCTTATATCATATGTTGCTATTTAAAACGGGTTTGACGTTCATGCAAAAGTAGGGAGTGACAACAGAAAATTGCCAACATGTCAACACAATCATAATCCAAACTCAGATTAAATTCAACTAGGTCAAAATATGAACAAAAGAACATTTACATCACGTTTAAAATACAGTAATCTGAAACACAATGCATATAGCTGAGTAGCGCCAAGCAAACTAAACATACCGGAAATTATGTTATCTTGGTGTTGAGAAATGGGTGCATGTGTATGTGGCAAGATAAACCATTTGCATGGCAACTTGTGATATAATAGGTAGCTGTTGTGTTTGACAATGGAAAGTTTGCTATCAAAGGTACACGTCTTATATAATGTATTAGGCACGTTTGATAGGGTTGAATTGAGTCCATTCTCTCTAATCATTGTTTGTCTAAACTGTGTTTAATTCTAAATTGGGACTGAAAAGTGTTACTTTTGTACAGCCTTATGGGTTCTCTGTAATGCTTTTAAGAAAAGCAATCAGTATATTAAGAATTAGAAAATTCTGCAGATTTTTATTACTCTAGTAACACCTTACCTTCATTCAGGAAATTACAACTAGTATCGTGTAGTGATTCAAGAAGGACATTATCAGATAGGAACCTAAATAGATATCTTTATAAACTGTTATCACGTTTCATTGGAGATGCAAACATTGAGCTGTGCGCTGTCCTTGTTCAACATTGTCGGGGCCAACGTTGTTACTACAAAGACAGCATACAAACGTTTGTCGATTTACACTGGAATTCACTACGTGTGTATAACAGTATAACACGGGTAGATACGGATGTGTTGATTTGTGTTTATAGTTAGAACAGGATTCATATTTCCCAGGTTACTGTATCATACCCGTGATGAATATTCGGTAAGTTCTTTTTACTATATATAAGTAGATAAATGACATTTAAAATATGATTTGATATGTAATATATTACATGTTGTATCACCAATTTGATTATTTTTAAAGGTTTGATATAGAAAAATGTCTTAAAACGTATACATGAGCAGTATTTTTTTTTAGTTTAAACATATTTTATTGCCAACTGTGGGGGAAGGATTAGACACTAGTTATTTCAACTTACGAGTTCTTCTCCTTATAAATAATTGTACATTAAAAAAAACAACACGTGATGACATATAAAAATAAATCAAAGTGCATGATTAACGTATAGTAAACAGTATATATACATGGTTCCCACTTGTATCAAGTCTACCAGAATCTTTCATAGCGCTCAATATATTGTTGTACAGCGTTGCATACTCCTATATTTTTTTAAGGTATCAATATCGGGAGAGCCATATAGTAGTAAGTCAAGACTGGGGGCAAGGTGCATAACAACTACCTTGATTTCTTAAAGCATGAGGTACTCATGGGGTCAAAGTTCAGACAGTGCAGCATGAAGTGGTCAGCATCCTCACAGGGACTACCACATGAACATGAGGGGTCTATGTGTAAGTTTGCTCGGTAAAGATCGTAGTTGAGTGTACTTGCTCTGTTGCGGAGTCGACTGTGAAGTGTATTTATGTGACGTTTTCCGTGCGTTCTAAAGGATGATGGTATGGTTGTGGGTGTGTGTATGGCCGATTTGAAAGATTTCAGAGTGTCCTAGTTCCTTGTGTATGGTTGTAGTTTGTTCCAATGTTTTGCAAGAATGTGGTATAAATGAGGTGTCCATAGACTGAAGTCTGTATCTTGGAATGTAGATATTGTCGTGGTTTCGTGTTTTATATCGTGGTTCAAGTGGTTGATTGGGTATTAGGTTGTTAAGAAATGACGGTGTTAGATTGTTTTTGCATCGGTAAAATAGTATGAGTTTTTTCGTAGCGTCGTTGTTTTAGTGTAACCCAGCCCATTTCTGAATAAATGTTGTCTAATTTAGTGTAAAGTGGTAGTCCCGTGACGATCCTAGCCCCCTGGAGTTACACTCTTTCCAATCTGACTTCCTTTGTCGCAGTATTGTCAATAATGTACATGTAAATAAGTGTACATGTAGATAAATTTGAAAAAAAAACAGCATTTGAACATTTTTAACTATCAAATTTACAGGTGTGGTTTGAGCGATTTGTATCGCGATAACTATTTTTTTCAAATGAGGACATTTTCCTTTTCACGTAACTGCAAAAATCGTTTTTGTCTGATTGTACAGGGATCATGTAAGATTTGTAAGGTGTGTCAATTGATTTTTCTATTCTGGAGACCCTAGAGCAAATAATAATTGACATGCGCTGGTCATTAGCTATCGAGTAACCTTCCTTTCTTTATCATCAACATTCCTTTGTATCTCCATATCGCCATGTTGGTTGCTCGCTTTAGTGTGGTAAAGGTTTGTTACTTTTATGATTTCATGGTCCCTTTGCAATGAAATTCACAATCTCAAAGTCAGAAATTGTTGAAAATAATTAAAACTTTAACCAGACATTGAAAGGAGAATTATTTTAAGGCACTGTGTTTCATTTTTTTTCTAAGGACGAAAGGAACTATCTTATCGCATCTTTGCATTTGCATATCTATGCTAGAGGATATAAAAATAGTTTTGTACTTTATTTTCTTGAAGTGAAATTAATGACATTGGAAAAAAATGTATCGAAATTTGATGACATAGAAATTTACGTAATAAAGTCATTTTTGAAATCGCTAAAACATACATGAGCATTTCCAAAAGAAAAAAAAGTTGTCAGAAGTAGTTATTCTGCATTATTAACGTTATTGAAATTTTTATTGAAAACACGAACAAAATGTTTTTTCATGATTATGTTGAACAAGGGAGATAACTACAGGAAAATCTACCTTTCAAATATACATTCCAATAATAGTTTGTGTCACTATTATCTTAAGCATGTTCATAAATGGTTGGTTTTAGTACAGGTAATTAGATGATTCATGTTTCTGTCAGTGAAGAAGAAAAAGAACTAGTGGAAAATTCATAAAAAATAGCTTTGGTTCACTTTGCTTTAAAAAAGAAAAAAAAATATTGCGTAGATAATGAAAATGTAATACATTACAAACAGAGGTATAAGGTAGTCACCATCCGGCATAATGCAAAAGATGTTCAATGTAGCATTCGGCAGTCATTGATTATATCAAGGCTTAAACAAGGAGATTCTTTAAAATGAATTAGCACGTTCAGAATGGACTTATGTTGGGCATGCTATGCCATCTGATAAATCAAATAGTGTTATTTTCTACATTTGGTTTTAAGATGAATTTGTATTTTCTGAAATTTTCACAAATATGATAAAATACGATAAATGTCCATACACATTAACGTATCTGTCAATTGATACTTTGATATGTCATAAATTAACCATTCAATGAAATCCAGATAGGTAAATAGTTTGTCATGTAGTTTGCCTTGAACACAGTTAGGTCATAAGGTTTAAATGCGAAGTATACGGCAGATTAAATATATTTTGTTACACGTGATTTAAATATAATAAAAAATATTGTTTGCATGTTTTTTCACGAACTCCCTAAATCACCAGAGCTAAAATACATCCCAATTTAACTTCTTCATTTTTTATAAACATATAAACACGTGTTCTACAAATTCCTCAAAGTAACAGAAAAAATAGAAACGGATGGTTTTCCAGTATTTAAATCTTTTGACGTTTTTGAACAAAGTAACATCTACCTTAAAATATGATTGCAGTTGTGTTGACCCAAATTTCATAGCGGACATATACAAGTTGTGCTGTTATCTATGTCTAAACGAGTATAGGGATATAAAGGTATTTGACGTCCACTGATAAGCAGTTGATAGGTCAGGGATGTGATGTAAATACGGGATAGGGCCCAAAGGTTGTAACAACAAAGCTGCCACATCGACAGAAAATACTAACCAAAGTAATCGCACCTGCATTCTAGTCACGTGGCAAACAACCTTAATAATAATAGGCATAACTCAACGTGTTTATCCTCACCGTTTTGTTACAGGTGGCCTTAACGTCACGCTGCATATATTAGGCTATGTCATGGTTTAATGGCGTTGATTGGTTTCTAACATGACGCAAGTTTCCCTGTAAATGCTATAAGTCATTGCGATTGAAAATTCAGCACTTTTTTCTATTCTCTTTTGTTGTATTTTTCATAAAATATATGTATGTGCAAACGACATGTAATAAGAACTTTTAGGGATTGCGGAAAACGTTATCGTCATCGCCAACATGGACGGTTGACACAGTGCTAACGCACTCGCCTTTCACTAGAACATCTGGGCTTCGATTTTCGGAACGAAAAGATGAAGTGTTACCTATCCGAACACATGCGTTTTTCGTGATACTCCTCGCGTGCTTCAGCCTTGGATCTCAAACATGATAAGAATTAAATGGATAATTTGTTTCGCAATTGTTGTAAAATAATGTTATATTTATATCAATGGATGTTTAGAAAACTGCACTTTATTTTTACTTCGGTGTATTCTTACATATTCACTCTCATTATTCTAAAGATACGGTCATATGTTAAACATAATGTTCTGGCACTCAGCCAACAGCGACGGTCAAACTCCATGATCAATCAAACACAGCGAGACGCCGCCAAATAGTTGTAATGAATACACTCTGATTCTGGTGAGATATCAACACGCCCGTTAATGCCCCAAACACTGGAGGATATCTATATCCGAGACGAATAAACAAAACACTTCAATATCTTTGATAGGAAAACTAATGTTGACAATTTAGTCCTACTTATAAAACTTTACATCTATCAGGCAAGATGTCTGCAAACTGGTCTGTCACTTTCAGCTTTGACGAATTTAATTAAAGATACATATAACACTCAAAAATACATTGCTACAGGATATGGGGAAAATTATCTCACCAGTTTTAAACAGGAATGGAGAAAATGGGAAAGACTACTTCAGACTATTTAGTGAAATTTTAAATCATTTTTGGATTATTTTCTTTTTTAACTTTGTTAGCTGAATGTATTAAAAATGAAATAAAATAATAAAGCCCCTGTCAGATCCTACCGGCACCATACTCATCCTCTCCCTCCCTCTCCTTCTTCATCTCTCTTACTGCTACTTTGCTCATTTTTCCCTTTTCTCTAAAAACGGTACACTATTAAATATCACTTACTTTAGTATCAATCTTAATGTCAGGCTTTCATTTTTTACTCTATTTACATTCCTTTGTACCTAAGTGAAAATGGCCAAGTGTGAGTGGAATGTTTGATGTGTTATGTTTCATGTATTGTTGAAAATCTTCAAAAAATAAAAAATTATATATATATATAAAAAAAAAAAATGAAAACACCCATATAAGAACATTACAGGTCTGTCACATTTTATGAATCAGGATTATTTTTTCTTTTTTTTTTCAGAAATAATTTGTAGATTAAGTTCATATTTGTGACAAATTATTGGTATTTATTTTTTGTTTCGTTATAGACGTCCAGTATTTGGAAGGAACGCAAGAATTTGTCTACTATGTTTAATGATTATCGGGATCTTCTCTCTTTGCTTCCCATTGTATAAACCTTTAACAATTTCTGGTGTGGTGGAGTATACCCATCTCAACGACAAAAGGCAGCCGAAACAAGTTTTTATCCGTCCAAAACTGAAATGCAAGGAAAATTCGATGAAAAACACTGTCGTTATGGTTTTAAATAAAGCGTCCAGTTTGTTACGGCGGGAAGCCATAAGAGAGACATGGGGCCATCCGGCAATACAAGCCAAATATAACTTCAGTTTGTATTTTGTGATTGGCAACGAAAGGAACTCCGACTTGACAGAAACAGATGTAAGATATGGTGATATTTTACATGTAGATGTCAACGAAAACTACTTCAACATCACGGAAAAAGTAATAGAAGCTATGAACTGGGCAACTCATGCCTGTCCTGAATCTAGCTTTTTTTTTAAAATCGATGATGACGTTTATTTCAATGTGGAATTTCTTCGGGAAATCCAAAATGATGAGAAGTATGTTCCAGATAACGTTATTCTTGGTGATTGTCTACCAGAAACAAAACCTTACAGAATGACTTCCAAATTTCGTGTTTCTTATGACCAGTATCCGTTTCAATTTTATCCGCCATATTGTGGAGGTCCCGGATATGTGATGACATTGAATACGGCACGCAACATATATAGTGAAATGTTGAACACGAAAACATTTGAGTTTGAGGACGTGTATGTTGGAATAGCAGCCTATAAACTCGGAATTACTGTAAAAAATGTGGAATATTTTATTTACGCTATGGATAATTATATCCATGACTTTTATATAAATTGTGCTATGATTACACACAATCTAACTCCAGAATATATCAGAAAGTTGTGGAAGGACAGACATAGGAGAAATAACGTTGAATGTTCACTGCTAGGAAAATGGAAAACTTTAGTGATGTCTTCATTTCAACGTAATTAACTTCGCATTTCTAACTTGTTCCTGGTATTATACTGAAAAATCACATATTTTCATGGGACTGAATTTTCGCGGTTTTCAAAATAAATAGATAAAATAAAATCCGTGAACACTTGATTTCATGGATATTGAGCTCAATACTTTCTCTCGCTTCATATTTACTCAGCTTAGGAGTTGTGCAAACTAGCAGTTGTTAGATATATTTCTCCTCTCGGTCCGTCACATAACGATGCCATTCAAACTGCTAACTGGCACTTCCTTCATGATGGTCACTTCTGATGGGATGCTAGTGTTTGTCAGTTGTTCAGGGTGGTCTGATGGCGCAATTGTCGTTCATCTAGACATCCGTGGTTCGATTCCTGGAAAGGACGTCAAAAGGTCAGGGGGTCACCTGTCCGACCACGTGGATTTTCCCTGGGTACCCCGGTTTTCTCCCACTTTGTTTCCATCCGTGCCAATAGAGTGATTTATATAAGTTTGAATAACTTGTTTCGCAATTGTTATAAATGAAGTAAATTTTCCAGATAAAATAACATTTCATGGTGTCCTCTAGGCCAATTGTAAACATTTCATGTTTTTTCGCTTTCTTATAAAGTGCAAGCACCATGGAATGTCATAATATAGACAATCCAGACCCATTAACCTGGAAATGATAATACCGTCTATTTAACGATGGCGTTAACGAGTGAGCGATACGTATCAACCATTTCTGTCTACCGATTTCTTTCTGTTTTGTTGGGTTGTCAACACTGGGGCTGTATTCCCAACAGAAACTTCATGTGTATAAATAGGAAATACCATTGTAGCATCCGTGCTTAATCTATATCTAATGATAAATAATGGTACATATGACAAGATCCCATATAAATCAGTAATATTTTATTTACAATGCCATCACCAATAGATAGAAAATATGTAAACTATGTACACATTTAAACGAGAATTATAAACAAGTCACGTCAATCTAACGTTGAATGCCCTAGCATCTTGATCGTTATCACACCACCAATAGCTCTACTTCAAATACACAATTGAGCTGTAGGAGAGAAATATCAGTTTTGTTGAAATAATTTTAAAACACGTTGAAATAGTATAATGTCTTGTACACATGTGATATCGTTTTAGTACGCAACTTTACAAAGGTGTAGACCAATTATTTGGCGTTGTAGATTTCTTATTTGAATCAATGGTTATTTACAAAATAAAGTATATAATAAGAACACAACATCCAAATTCACGTCATTACAGAAAAAATAATCAACCTTCTAAATACTCAAGATGTTTACAGTCATGCACAAAACTCGTAAAAGAAAAGTATTTACTTACTTACTGTAAAACCAGTAATTTTCGTGTGAGATTTATTTTGTTCGATTTCGAGAGTACTCTTAATCCACAAACATATTTGTCCACAAAATTGAATAAAGTAAGTTTAAGTATATTGATTAAGCTATATTTATCCAAGAAACCAATAGTTCAGGAATAAGTTATTCATTTTTCAACCGTGAAATTAAGCCCTAAGAAATAATATGATTTCATAGTATTTGATATCCGGTATGTTCAAAGCAGGCGAAATGAATATTTGATGTTCTTATTAATTCTCTCTTGTATTGCTTTGGTGTTTTGTCTTATTAATCTACAAAGTTCACCAAAACAACAATGGTTTTCAGTATTCTGATTGATACCTTACAGAAGGAAATAAAATTGTTCGTCATTCCGGCAATTATCATGCTTCATTGTTTATTTTATTTAATTATCTTCTTTGGAAAATGACAGCAAATTATGATTTACGTTAAAGCTGCGCGTGCCTCCGGTTTAAATCTTTTTGTATTATGATCATTTAAAAGAAACAAACAGTATTTCCTCTTTGACATTATTTTACTATATGTCTTTTTTCTCAGCCACGTCTTAGATTCAGAACTTTAGACATATGGCATAATTGTCGTGTCCTATAAGGACGAAACAGGTGTATAATTCATAACATCACTGTCGTGTCCTAGAAGGGTGAAACAGCTTTATCATTCGTGCCATCACTGTCGTGTCCTAGAAGGGTGAAACAGCTGTATCATTCGTGACATCACTGTCGTGTTCTAGAAGGACGAAACAGACGTATCATTCGTGACATCACTGTCGTGTTCTAGAAGGACGAAACAGACGTATCATTCTTGACACCAATGTCGTATCCTAGAAGGGTGAACTATATATATCAATTATGACATCATTGTCGTGTCCTAGAAGGGCGAAACAGTGGTATATATAATAAATTTTGTTATTTGGTTATATGCTTATCAAATTTTGAATCTGTATTGGAAGATGACACTCTCCTATATATTTTTTGAGTAAGTACTTGAATGTCTTAACTTACAAAATATACTATGACAGATTCTGTTTCTCATCATATACTTGAATTTTTACGACATTCCTCTTGTTCAAGTAGAAATACATCTGTATCAAAATGTCTATCTCCTTTCTATAATACTTTGTTGCACTTTTAGCCAGCAATTTACTTCATTTGAATTACTTTATCTTTTTTTTAATTTTTCCTCAAATTTTCGCGGTCTTACCAAATGTTTTTATGCAAACAGGAAAGTTATTTTCTTTTTTCTACTATTTACCACATTTTCGCGATATTTTCCCAGACAGTAGTAAAAAATATATATAACCTCGAAACTTATAGATTTTGACAAAATATTAAATCATAAAAATACTATCTTCAAGACATAAAAATGAATATATTTCACATTTACACCAAACTACATTATAAAACCAATCCGTATGAACACATAGTACTATCTAACTAGATAAAGATTATATATTGCATAAACAAACGGAAGCAGTAAGTAAAACAGTCATAAAAATACCGTACTTTTCCTTTTAAAACTCCGATATTAAAAACTTAAAAGGATTTTTACGTTATCTTAAATGTGATTATAGTTGGAAACATGTTAAATTTACAATACTCAACGACCACTAAAAACCACTGCAAATAGATGCATTTAAACCAATTCTAATAAATATACACAAAAACAGCACACATAATAAAATTTCAACAGAAATAATGTAATTACATCGTACGTCTAATTAACACTAAACATTCAAAGCTACTACGTCAAAATAAATGACTTATTAAGATTCTGTAAAATCGTTTGTTTTTGTGGGGTTTAAATTTCGTGGCTTTTTAAAAATACAAATTTTCATTGTTACTTGGTTTCAGGGATAAATCAGGCTCGCAAAATACATAAGCGTTATCATCCATGTCAGTTTTTATCTGTGTATCATTTCGTGGACACATAAATTCGTGGATTTAGATCACCCATGAAATCAACGAAAATAAGTCCTCGCGAAAATAAAACGATTTCACAGTAATCAATTTAAGAATTAATTTAATTGATTAATAATTAATTATCAGATTGATTAATAATTGACGTTATGATCTACCGATGCATTTTATATTATGCAGTACATATTGGAATCGATATTTGAATTCATATGAATACATACACGATTATGAATGTGTTATGGTCTGTATTTTCATTTTCAAAATCAACTAGTATCGAAAATTTTGAAATGTATATAGATTTCATGGGATTAGTATACTTTCACATTTATTTCTTTAATCCTGTTTACATTTTCTAGATCCCATATTTGGTCACTATCATTACCGAACTGTCCTATAAGGACGAAATGACTGTATGATGTAGTTTATTTCAGTATTTGGGTGTGTTTTATCTAAACATAATATTGATTGACAGATGCTGTTTACATGTCCTTTAGAAATCTTTTGTATATAGAAAATGTTTAGAAAGACTCATAAAGGTGATTTTTTCTTCAAAATAGTTACGTTTTGTATACAAATTAACTTTCCCTTTACTGCTAACTACACAATAAAATGCACGTTAATTTCTCTTATCGTCAACTACACTAAGTGGTGTTTAGGATAAGTGTTCTAGGAAAGGATCTTTGCTCATTACAACTCGACATCAAAACTTTAAAATTTGATTTCCCCCAAAGAAGAAATTATGTGATTGTTTTGGTCTTTTGAAACTGCTTACTCTTTACAGTATACCATATATAGGTATTAAATCGTCAGCTTTGGGATTCCAACCCATACTTTTTGCTTCTGAATATGGTTGGAAACTCAGTCACTACCTTTCATATAACTTAAGGCGTGTATTGTTTTTACTTCTATAGAATACGGTGTTATAAAATAAATCTAACATATGTTGTTTGATTAATGACAACGAAACCTGTTGTGACGCTATCAGGGCCGTGTGAACGTTCGAAAATTGATCAAGCTATATCTATTAAGAATTTCCACAAAATGAATACCTTAGGTTTGTTTAAATGGTAAACTGATGTTTCCGATTTCCATAGGAACATTAAGAAAATGATTTTTTTATCGTTTTTCTTCAAAAACATCCCACGAAATCCTGTCTTGTGCGGAATATCTCTTTAAGGATTTTGAACAGTTACAGTATTACACGTGTAAACTAAGAGAAACAGAAATGATCATAATTACATAAATATATGTCAATAGTTAGGGTTAGGGTCAAGTGTAACGAGTACTCATGTTTGTAAATATAACCAGTTACACGAGTGGGCACACGTTTAAGTAAGTAAAAACACACATTATATATTCATGTAGACACTGAACAAAACGACATGGCTCATCATGATCAATTTATATACATATGGACATTTTTTTTTCAAAACATGCCAACTGTTTATAACAAATATGAATTATTTTTGAGAATAAGTGAAAGACAATATATTTGTTATCGTAGAAATCAAGCATGTGTATTTCAGGGTTGCCTCCCCTTGAACCCGTTTTAAACGATTTACGCCAACAAAGACTTTAATTGCCTTTCAGCAATACAATATAATTAAGCATTTTAAAGGAGGACCACCAAGCGATAAGATATCTTATCATGACATTCTCAGATATGATAATTATCAATATTTACAAATATTTGAATTATTTATTTTGTAAAATGATTACCAATGAGAGAATTTGCAGATCATATGAAAAACTTAATTACAAGTTCAACGTGAATGGCGTTATTATATATAGGTTTATGACTGAGGATAAAAGAAAAATGTGTTCAATGTACACGCAACAGCCATTGCACTGCGTTTTTAGAAGGAAAAAATGTTGGTTACGCGTGTGACTTTGGGGTACGAAACATCCTTTGCAAGTATGCAATGCTGCGAAATTCTTAGATGTACATACATACATACATACATACATACATACATACATGTGCATTTTTATTTTGTCCGCTTACAGCAAAAATGATTATAACTAAATTTTGATGTGCTTTACAACCTGTTTGTGTGCTGATTTTTGAAACGTTTTTCTCCAGTAAATTCATCTCAATGAACCCTCAAATCCCGTACATCAATAAACCAGTATTGAAATAAAAATGGAAGAAATAACATTGATTGAAAAGACAGAAATGGAACATAATCTACCAATTAAAAATATGATACAGTTTTGTACAATGGTATATTACATTATATACATATGAGATTATATACCACATTCTCTATGTACTGTATACCTGAAGTCTGACGTCATAACACAGATTATTGACATGGTGTTATACAAATAAACACTAAACTTTTAAACCAGAGAAATGTACCAATACATTTTATTTCAAAATTATCGATTTTAATTGATCACGACAGCCCTTCAAAACCCACTGCGATCCCATCCAGAGTCAGAAGGTTAAACTGTGCTTAATTTCATCAGGTAGTAGTGAAAAATATTAATTCTAAAACTGATGTCACGTTCACAAACAGGTGCTTGTTAAGAGCGAGACTTTCTTTAATTGATAAAAATAATACGATATTTCAATTCTGAAGTTCAAACCACAGGTACTTGGAGCGGAAACATGTAAAAATCAGACACGAAACATCATAATGATCACACGGAAATAAAGAGGTTTTCAAAATATAAAGCGACACCAAAGTCAATTTTTTTTGGACTTATTGGTTGTAAATTTTTGACAATAAAATAATGTCTCTATAAAAACATATTCATAAGTTTTTTTTTATTTTCGTGAAACTCATCATTATCTTCTGTTGTGAACTTCCAGTCCGCAATATGTAACCCAGACTTATTCCTAATGAATCTCGTACCGAGATATTTTTAGCTAACACATTAAAAAATAACTAATTGGCAATTAGAAATATCCAGGACACGCTTGGTTATATCATATTATCAATATGCCGTACTAACACTTTGTGATGTCATACGAAAACTTAATTATGTCATATTAAGACTTTGTGATGTCATACGAAAACTTAATTATGTCATATTAAGACTTTGTGATGTCATACGAAAACTTAATTATGTCATATTAAGACTTTGTGATGTCATACGAAAACTTAATTATGTCATATTAAGACTTTGTGATGTCATCCGAAAACTTAATTATGTCAGATTAACACTTTGTTATGTCATACGAAAACTTAATTATGTCATATTAAGACTTTGTGATGTCATACGAAAACTTAATTATGTCATATAAACATTTTGTAATGTCACACTAAAACTTTTTTGTTCAAATTGAATAGGATTTACGTAATGTACATTGAAGGATACAACGAAAAATCATACCATAAAAATTTTGAAGAATGAACATCCTTGGTTATATATAAATAAAACAAAAATTTACACGCTATTTTCATGGTTCATTATAAAGCAGATGAACCCTGACACAAATGGCAGTTCTGATATTGAAACAGAATCTTTGAGACATGATCTGTTTGGTCATGTTAAAAATCTGATTTTTGAAAACACATTTCACTCGTGCTCAGTTTTATCACATTACCAATTTGAAAAAAAACGAGGAATAAAAAAAATGTTCGGGCCATAAAATGTCACGTGAGAATAACTTGGTAAAAGATTCGTAAATTCTTGATTTTACATGTTATAGATATGTAGTTATGTGATTTATTGACATTACAACCACTATGGAGTATTATATATACAAAGAGTCGGAAGCACAGAGATAGAAATTACAATACTACAAAAACGGGGACATGGAATTCTTAAAAGCGTCTGAAAACTCGCGTGATGACCTGCTAATGATGGCGTTGTTTCCAACTGAATATTCTCTGGATACCCTTGACAATAATGGCATGTTTCCCTCCGAAATCTCCATGGATACTCTTTACAATAACGGAGAGTCTCCCTCCGAAATGTCCTTGGATGCCCCGGTCTTTGTCCCTGTAAAAACTTACTGCATACGCTTGCTGATAATAACAAGGTTCCCTTTTCCCGTATACCCTTGTCGCTAATTACGTGTTTTCCACTGAAAACTCTCGTGGTACCTTTGCTGGCGATGTCGTATTTCCCTGAAGGATTAGCTCTATGCCTACATTGTATTAGCTTTGGAAGAGGACGGTGACATAGGTTAGACAAACTAGCACAGTATATACAGCGAAATGTGACGTCATGGGTGTTGTTCCAGACACACAACCTTCTCTAAATTCGTCATCTGAAACATAAAATGTAGAATATATATAAATACAGTGAAATCATAATTTTTGAGAGGAATGTATATCCACGAACTTTTATGCTCACGAAATGATACTCAGATAAAAGTAGAAATGGCTGATAGTATTGGTGTATGCCCCCAGTTTGATGTGTCAGCGCAGGAATGAAGCTCTGGTTTTGATATACATCGATACAAGGAACTGATTTTCGGAATTTTGACGAAAAATTTCGATGTTTAGGAATTCATTAGAGCTAGTTTATCTCGTGTCATTTCGGAAATTAAAAATTTGCATACTTGGATGTCCTAGCCCTAATTATGTAAATTATTGCTGACTTGATATTGTGATGTTTTGTTTTGTAATGTATTGAGGAAAGGACAACTATAAGTTGAAATAACTTGTGCCCGATCCTTTTGTAATAATTTACAATAAAATATGTTTAATTTGAAAAGTCTCTAATTACAGACAAAGAACCGGTACCTAGGACATACAGACGAGTAATTAATGTTTGAATTACAAACTGCTGAATTATTTTCAGAATATAGCATCTGAAATAGAATCCAATGCTGTATGCTTTGATGTCAGTAATTTTCTGACATTACTTTCAACACATTGGAAAATGCATCTAAGTTGAAAATTTAATTAGGAATATCGTTTAAGAGTTAAGAGTCTTTACAGAAAGCTATAATTACTTTTCGAAAATATTAAACTTACCTGGCAACATAATGTATAATACACTTAAAATAACCCGGGTTTTTCATGTTCGAATCTTGCACGTTATCAAACAAAACACGACTTCCGTCCTAATTTTACAGGGAATATAGGGTTTGAATGAAATGTACCTATGGCCTTTTTAAGTTTCGGGTAGAAGTTTGTCCAGTAGGCACACTGCTTATACCGGAGTCCGGACTTAACATCAAAAACCGGACCGGGTTTTAGTATGATATATTCTTGGGTGTCGTACGTGTATTCAGGCCAACGTGTCGCTCTGTTTCCGTTTCCGGGGTCACTGAAAAGATAACGTGTCAGCAGTTATAATACATTGGCGATAAAAACAAGAAAATATGGACATGAAAACAAAATATAATTCAATCGAGAATAAACAATGAAGAAAGCAATGTTTAAAATGGAAATAAGTTTGATCAGGGGCAGTTGAACTGTGCATGGAGGAAATATATGACAAGGTTTCTTTCCGGTTTTCAGGCAAAGTTGAAATTTGTAATAACTTTACAGACGGGTCATTTGAATGTTTGAATTAAAGAAGAACGTGAAGAAACTTTATTATGACATATTATTCACGAAGTGTTTGTCAAGAAGACGACATATTTTTTTTTTCATTTTTGCTAACTCGAAATGTCAATTATTCCTCCAATGCAGTTTGAATATACATTCCTATACATGTTTTTCGTAATTATATGTTTTTGGTAAGTAACTAATCACAGAACACATACCCATATTTTGCGAAGTTGGTCCAGTATTCCACCATAGCAATGCTGAGCTGACGTTCCTCGGAAGATCGTCTGTGATCATTGACTGGGACGGCAAAAACGTACTCGATCTCATCTCCATGTAGTACACCAGTCCAGGAGGGCCAGGGGTTCGTTAGGGAGCGATGCTCGAAGCTGTACATAAACACTTGGGGAGAACCTCGTCGTGAACGACTAAACTCCTGGGCGTATTCTATAACGGGACACTTAAAGGCAAAATCACCACCTGAAACACAGTTATATAAACAACAAACAATAAGTCTTCTTCATTTCTTCATGTTTTTGTTTTTTTTTCCACTTCCCTTCTTTTCGTATCCTACCCCCATCCCCCCCCCCCCCCCCCGCTCGACACACACACACACTTTCTGTTGCTATAAATATTTATCCAATAAGCTATTACGCTCGATGCAATTATAGACAGCCAAATTCAGAAATAGTTCCGGGCCAAGGAAAAACGGACCAATGACAACAAAATTGAAACAGTAACTTTATTAACAACAATAAATTGACATTCCTTGTCAAATAAAGCATATATCAAAACTAGATATACATATATCCATTATCAAAAGCCATCACTCCACAACTATTTTTTTATTTAAAACGAAGTCAGAAACACTTGCATATTTATATGTAGCCACAATGGCTTGTCTAGATAATTAAGATAATAAAAATAATTTCGAAAAGTCCCTGTGATTTTGCTACTTCTGGTTATTAATTTTGTAAATATGCTTTTTTTTCTCACATGATGTACAAAATATTGCCCCATTAGGATATTCTGACGAGGTGAAGTTAACGACGCCATCAAAAGACCATGGCTGCAATAGTAATAATGGTATTGACTTATCTGCAAATAAATTGGCAACCATACAACTTAATGCTAGAATCACTGTAATTCCTCCACCAGTATGAGTGATTTACATTATTCTGATAGTGTAACAAACAAGCTCTGTCCCGTCAGTTTATCCTAATAGGGATCTATGAAGGTATAATGGAATGCTGACAATATTCATATATTGAACAATCATTTTAATTTGTCCCACGAAAAAAAAAAAAAAACAAGAGCCTGTTTCAGGTCACGAAATACGCCTGTGATTTTGTCTGACTATCACCTACACTATTTATGCTGTATATAATATATTGCATTTGTTTCAATGGTAATTGCGTAATACTTTGCAAAGTTATTGCACCGACATTGAAAAAGGTTACAGACATTAATGGGCCGTAACTCTAAAAGTTGTGGATCAAAAATCATGGAAATCAAACTCAATCTAGCTTTGATTGTACTTAAGCTTGCAATGAAAGTTAAAAGAAATCTGTTAAGGCTTAATAAATTCCAAAATCGCTGGGACATTGAAATGTTTACGAACAGAGGGACATACGGACGGAAGATGGACGGATGGAAGACGAGAATACCATAATATGTCCTGTCATTTGACGGATGTATAAAATACATAAATATCAAACAAAAAAAAAGAAGTAAATAAATGTAAAGATCATAAATCTAAAATAATAAGCAAAATCACTTGAGGTACGCATATTGTGCATAAAAATACATTGAAAAATTAATTTAAGATTAGAAACAAGAGGCCCATGGGCCTTATCGGACACCTTAGAATCAATCACTTCACAAGCAATGGTAAGAACTGACAGTATTTCTGATATTGATTTACATTTATTATTAACAGCTAATAGTTGTCTGCTGTTTAAAGAATTATAAAAAAATCATCACATGTTTTGTTTTTTATTTGTCTATTTCATTATATCTAGGAACATTTATCTTATAGTGATATAGTGACAGCTGTCAGTTGCTCACTTATTATGAGTCCATACTAGTTTATGGAGAAATTACTGAAATTAGCATGTCTATGTGTGCTTGATGATGAAGATAATGATGTTGACTGTGTCTAAGAATCTGCAGCATCCTTATGCATGGAAGTTAAAGTGTGTGAAGAAGCTGATAATGAGGATGTGTGATGCTGCTGTGTGATGCTGCTGATGTTGGTATATATGATGATGTTGAGGTGTGACGATGCTGATTTGGTATGTGATAATGCGGATGTGTAATGCTGCTGAAGTGTGATGATGCTAATGTTGATAGGTGACCATAATGATGCTGATGGTATGTGATGATGCTAATGTGTGACGAGGATGATGATTGTATATGATGATGTTGATGTCAGATACTGATGTTGTTTGTATATGTAACAATGCTGGAGTGCTAGTATGGCTGCAAGTTATAAATATATGTTTAGAGTGATTGTGTTACAAAGTGTCTATGATAGTTAAGATATAGTGTGCAACTCAAAGTGCTGTGTGTTTAGTGGTGAAAATGATGCATGACTATACTCTGTAAGTGTGTGACGATGGGAGTTATAGACTGATAGTATATATGAATCTATTTATTCCTCATGTGTTTTTCGATAAATAAAAAATAAACAAATATATATAAATAAATAAAAATAAAATTGATATTATCCCTGTTAATAATTAACATTTAAAATTACTTTTGCTAAATGATTCTCTTGGCATGTTTAAATGGGTTAAAATTTCCCTTGCACCGGTTTCAGTGCGCTTCCATAAAATTCTACAGCGATACTACGCGATCTCTAAAAACTACAGCTCAAACACCATTTCATCAATTAAATAATATTAATATAATACAAAAAGAACTATTACTTACGCATAAGAACTCACCACAGTTCCCCTGTAAGCAATTTCTTTCCGTGAGGTGCGCGTAATACCCGCCATGCTTACATGAAAATAAAATCAAGTAGGAAAGCTCCGTGCGGGGAGGTAACTCTGCACGAACGTCAAAAATATTCTGATATGGGGGAGGGGGTGGGAGGGGGATAGAAAAGAGGGGGATTTATCCATTTTACTTCTGTTTCTATCTATTAATAATTTTG